AATAAATATAATAATAAAGTTAATTTAATATTAAATAATTTATAATAAATTAATTAAAGTATTAGCTTTAATATTATCTTTTAAGAAAGTAATTATATTAACTTTAAAAAATAAGTTTTTAATATAATTTTTAAAATATATTAACTTAAAAGGTATTTTTAATAAAATATATACTTTAAATTATATTATTAATAAGTATTTAATTAAAGTTAAATTAATATTGCTAAATATTAAGATATTTATAATATTTATTTTAATAGTTATAATTAAAATTACTTAAGCTGCTTTTTCTTTAAATAATAAGAATTATATAATATATTTTTTTAATTTTAAGTTTATTATATTTATTAAGCTTGCTTTTATTATAAGAAACTTAACGTTTTTTTTTAAGTTTAATTTTAATTAATAAATAAATTTTTCTTTTTTTTTATTTTTTTCTTATTTTTTAATTATAACTTATTATTAATAATTTAAAATTAATTATTTTTTATTTTTTTTAAAATCTTTAAGTTAAATATAATTAGCTTTTATAATTCTTATAACTTTATTTTAATTTTTAATATTTTTAATTATATGCTTTTTTTTAATTATAATAATATTTATTTAAGAAAGTTTATTATTACTTATAATTATAAGCTTTTTTTTAATATAAATTATATAATTTATAAAATTTATAATTATTAAAATTAAGCTAACTTTTTTTTAATTATTAAATTTTTAAATTACTTTTAAAGCTTTTAATAAAGCCTTTTCTTTAAATAAAGAATTTATTTTAATAAGCTTATAATATTTAATTATATAAAATAAATTAAACCTTTTTTTCTTAAATAAAAATTTTAATTAATTATAAATATATCTTTTTAAATTATAGCTACTTTAATTATAATATAATTAAATATAAGTAAAATTTAAATATTTTAAAAGGTTAGCTTAAGTATTTTTAAATAAGCTAAGGAATATTAATAATTTCTTTAGCTTAAAAGCTATTAATAAATTATTTAAAAAAAGTTATTTAAGCTTATTATATTAATATGCATTATAATTTTAAAAAGTATAATTATAATAAATTTTAAGTAATTTATTTTTTTTAAAGAAAAACATTATAATTATAGCTTATACTTTATTATTATTAAGATTATTTTAATTAAGTTTTGCTAAAGATTATTAAATAAAATTTATAGCTTTTAATTTAATTATCTTAAGATTATTTTACTATTTATTATAAAAAAAAGTTTTAATATTTTATTAAAATAATTTAAATTTATTTTTAAACTTAATTAAATTAAGTTTTAATTTTATAAACTTTTTAATAAGTTTATTTATATTTTATAAATCCTAATTATATTTTTTAATAATATTAATATAATTAAATTTAAAGAAAGATTATTAAGCTTATAGGTTTTTATTTTAAAAGTAATTTAAAAAATTAAAATTATTTTAACTTTTTTAAAGAAAATTTAGCCTTTTTAAATTAAGTAAATTTTAATTAAAATTATTTTATATAAATAAATATTTATTTTATTTAAAATATTTAAGTTTTTAATTAATAACTTTTAATAAAATATATTTAAAATTTAATTAAAGAATATTTTTTACTAATTTATAAATAATCCTTTCTTTTATTAATTATTTTTTTAAATATAATAAAAGCGCCTTATAAAAGGATTAAGTTATAATAAAAGAAATATTATTTATATTATTAAGTTTTTAATTATATTTTATAATTTTTCCTTTTTATGCTTTTAAGTTATTATAAGGGTTATTATAAATAATATCTTTAATAATTATAATTAAGTTTATATAATAAGTTTAATTATTAAATTTATAAAAAGTAAGAAGCTTTTTTTTTTAATTTTTTTAAATAAATTATTTAATAATAATGCTTTTAATTACTTTTATTAAATTTAAAGTAATATAATATTATTTAAGTAATTTTAAGATTTAATTATTTAAGTAAAAGAATTAATAAGTAATAATTTTAAGGCTATTTAAAATCTTAATAATATTAATTTTATTAAACTTTAAGGTATTTAAATTATAAATTATAAATAAAGCTATTTATAATAAAATTATTATATTAATAAAAAATAAAACTTTTAAAATATTAATTTAAATCTTTAATTTATTATTAATAATAAATTATAGGGTTTAATTAAAGCAAAGTTAATGCTTTAATTAATAATAAGTAAAATTAAATCTTTTTTTTTCTTAATAAGTTTTTTAAAATTCCTTTTTTAGCTTTAAATAAAAAAGGATAAATAATTTTTAAGGTTTAAAGATATTTTTAAAATAAAAGTAAGTTTAAAAAAACTTTAAGCTTAAAAATATAATATATATATTATAATAATTCTTATTAAAATAATAATAAAATAAAGAAATTTAAAAGCAATAATATTTTTAATTAAAGTAATTACTTTTAAAGAATTTATTTTTAATATTATTATAAGATATTTAAATTAAAGTTTAAAAAATAAAGGTATTAATAAATATAATAAATAAAATAAACTTAATAAAAGGATATTTTATTAAGAAATAAAAATTATAAGGCTATAATAAAAAAAACTCCTTAAATTTATATTTAATATCTTACTTATTAATATTATATTAAACTTTTAGTAAATTAAATTTAAATTTAATTAAAGCTTAAGTAAAATTATACTTTAAGTTTAAATCTTTTATATAATTTAATTAATATAAAAATATATAATATAATGCTATTTATTAAACTTATAAATAAGTAAGATAAGTATTTTAATTTTATATTATAACTCCCTTTACTTTAAATTTAAGGTTATAATAATAATAATAAATATTAATTAAAAATTTAAAATACTTTTAATTAATATTAAATAATATTTATAAAGTTTAAATTTATTATTTTAATTTTAAATTTATATTATTATTATATTTTAAGTATAATCTTTAATAAAAAATTTAAAATAAGTTTAAAGCTTAATAATATATTAATATAAAATTAAGATAATATTTTATTTAAATATTAAAAGTATAAAAAGTATTTTAAAATTAAAAAATAATCTTAAGGTACTTATAATATTATTATAAATTTAATTATACTTAACTCTTTTTTATAATAAGTTAAAAATAAATATAAGCTTTAATTAAAGCTTTAAGTTAAAATATAAAATTATTTAGCAATATTTAATATAAAAATAAGAAAAAAGAGAAAATTAATAAATAATTAACTTATAATTAACTTTTTATTTTTTTTATTATTAATTAAAAATATATAAGATTAAAATTAGCTTAGGTTAAATTATTAATAAAAATAAGCTACTTAAATAATAAAAAATAAGTTTTATTAAATCCTCTTAAGGGTAATTTAAGAAAGAGCTTTAATATAATAAAAAAAAAGATAAAAATAAAAGGGAATTAAAAAAAAGGAAAAGATAAATATTTTAAAAATTTTTAAAAATAAGAAAAGCTTAATTAAAGCATTAAATATATATAAAAAGAGAAAAGTTAATTTCTTAAAAAAATATTTAAAATAAGCATAAAAGCTAGCTTTTTATAACTAGCCGGAATTTAGCACGGTACCATTTCTCATGTAATTCCCTGCACTTGCCAATAATAGCATTAAGCATAATAAGCATTATAAGTAATAAGCATTATAAGCAATTAGCATTAAAGCACTAATAAGCAAGAATTATATATAGCAGCACATAACTACCTTAAGATAATTTATAGCCAAAGAAAGATTTTGCAATTTACAGCCGCAACCCTCCTTCCTTTTATATAGCTAATTTAAATACAACCAATCTATTATCAACCAATGTACATTAACCCAACCAATAACAACCAACCTCCAACCCCTTAATAACAACCCAAGCCCTTTTATATGCCTACCTTTTATAAGCACTTAACATAATTAAATAAGCGCATACCTTTAATTAAATTAATTAATTAATAAATTTAAACTTAACGGTTTTAAGTTTAATTTAACTTTTTTTTCTTATATACTTTTTAAAAGCATGCATTAACTACTTAATTAAAGATTGCTAATATAATTATAAACATGCTATAAAAGAATAGCAATATTAAGCATAATAAGCATTATAAGTAATAAGCATTATAAGCAATTAGCATTAAAGCATTAATAAGCAAGGGTTACATGCGGCAATATATAATTACCCTAAGATAGTTTATAGCTAAAGGGAGGTTTTGCAGCCTACAACCATAACCCTCCTTCCTTTTATATAGCCAATTTAAATACAACCAGTCTGCTATCAACCAACATACATTAACCCAACCAACAATTAATTTATTTTTAAATTATAATTTTAAGATTTAAATTTATTACTTAAAGAAATAATATTTATTTAATTAAATAAAACTTTATTATCTTAACTTAAAAATATATAAAAATAAAGAAAATAAAGTAAATAAATTTAAAACATTTAATAATTTAATTAATATAATAATATAAAATTAATATAATATTATTTTTAATAATAAAGGCTTTAATTTTATTTATATTTAAGGGCTTAATTAATTTATTTTTATTATATAAATTATTTAACTTATATTTAACTTTAATTTTAAGATTTAAATTAAAAAATAAGCTTTTTTAATATAAATTTTAATAAAATCTTTATAAAACTTTTTAACTTATATAAAAAGATATATTATATTATAAAAAATATAAGCAATTTAAGAGATTTAAGGTGTGTATTGCTTAAATAGGTTTAAGTTTACCTCCGGAGCTAAAAATTGCCTATCTAGGGCCCTTAGGGGCCAAACGCCCCTGCCCGCACCACAGGGTCCACCTTTTAAAGTTGCACCTGGGTCGTCAACGCACGGTCCCGGCCTCGGGCTTTCCGACCCGGCCGCCAATTAGTTTACTGAGCGCCCTGTGAGTCGACCATCACGTGGATTACATAATCGGGCCGGGCCGAGGCTGGATTGCCGTAGCAACGCGCGGCGTCAACGTCACGTCAAGCCCGATGCGAGCTCGTCTTCAAGCAGTTGACAACTTCACGACTATGGCTGGATTAACCGCCAGCCAGCGAGAATTAGGCTGGAACGTTAGGATCCTGCTTAAATCAGGTGTTGTATCTTGTTTTGCCGGCTTCTACCAGCAGGATGGCCTTGTTACCGTCGCAGATGTTCGGCGGGAGCTTGAGCTTTGCTTTGTCCTCGACCAACAAGCCGGTCACCCCGCTCTGATACCTCGCGCTGCCCATAACGACGGGCCGATTTTCATGATTACCCTCAACGAAAATGATCTTGCAGCATTCCCGACACCTCCGGCCCACCAGAAAGCCGAATACTGGTATATCCAACATGATCCAGCGCAATGCGCCGACGCGAGGCAGTACCACTCTTTGACAAGTATACGAGCACCACCACCAGATTCCTATCGAGCGGCCTCGGAATTCCCTCGCTGACCATGTCGTGGTATAGGTCCTTGTGTTCGACCAGCCGGCCGGCCGCCGCGACGAACTGACCCACGATATATGCCTATTGGCAGATCTTCCGACAACCCCTTCATCAAGACTGTGCCCATTCGAGGGAAGAAGCGACCTCGCACCGCGTCCAGTTCTCCGAGCCGATCACCATCTAAGGGCGTTGATGACATATGTGAGAATGACGAGTTTCCCGAAACAATCATACCGAGAGAGGAGGCTACCGTGATTATGAGCGAGTTCCGGCAGAACGTTGTTGGGGCGGGACCACTACGCTGTGCGATTACGGGAAAAGGCAGCGCCTGGTGGGCGAATGGCCTGGGACCGGCCGTTCAAGCTGCTCACATTGTGCCACAGATTCACTGGAACGTCTACCCGTATGAGCAAGGAGCACCTCCTCAAGATGACACTGCTGCATTACGGGATGCGTGGACACAGACCTGGCACATGTCTAATGGGGTACTTCTATCCAGCCACATCCACCAGTGCTTTGATGCTCGGATCTTGTCAATCGATCCAGACACAAGGCGAATTCGAGTGTTCATGCCGTACGACATGATTACCGAGTACCATGGCAAATCAGCGACTCTGCCGGAGGAGACTGACCTCCAAGCATTACGACACCACTATGATATGTGCTGTTTGGAAAACATGGCGGCAAAGAAGCAGCCCGGACTGTCCACATGGGTGCGCTTTAAATCCCCAGCGACGGCCATGAGCCCTGTCACCCCGAGTGCAGACTCCCCTGGGGATCCCAGCAAGAAGGTCCAGAAACCAGACACTGCTAGCGGTCAAGGGGCTGCGGGTGAGCAGGACTCTAAGGATAGCCTAGGAGATACCGGTCAGAAGGACATTGATGAAGATGGCAAGCGCGTAGACATTGGAATGCAGGAGCGGCCAACGCAACAATGGTCCATGCGACAACCTCTGAGTCCTCCGTCTAGTGAATCGGGGTGCAAGACTTGGCGGCTTGGAGGGGTACTCCTCACGGATGAGCGACGAGTTGAACAGCTTCGGAGCAAAGGGTGGCTTATCCATGAAGTGGGAAGTCAAGCGGACGATTGGGCTTCAGATGGCCAGAGCTCTGATGAGGAGGAGCAGCGCGGTCGGCCTAGGAAACGGCGATGTTTTATGCCAGACTGAATATAGCTGGGATCATTTCATTCATCACTTGACGTTTAATCAAGGCAATACCACATAATCAGCTGCTGCTTCCTCTGCGCGATTGCATGTTTCAGTGGATTGACATATTGCACAATTGGCAAAGAATAATGTGGAGCTCACTGGAGAGTACTTGTGTGTTGAAGGTATATAGACGGGATGGAGCAGTTGCCTAGGAAGGTAATTTAGAGCGAGATGAAGACCCTGCTTCACACTGTCTTCTTAGAATGGGCCGGGATATACATCATTTTACGCAATAGCCCAGTCCATAAACGACGCTCTTCAGCATTTCTCAGCCATGTGCTGTTCTGCCGTGACGTGCAGCCCCCCGGGCCCCTTCAGATGCCCCCTGCCTCATCTTCCACCATTGCTGTGCGACAGCGCTGGGTGTCCTGTTGAGAGTGTCACCGATCCGTCGGTCTGACCATCCCTTCTCTTTCAATTCTCGTAAGCGCTTACAATCCTGCCGCCCCCACAGCCGTCTTTGACTTGCCGGGCCTGTGTTTCCTCGGTCGAGATTGGGATCCGCGGTGAAGTCAAGTGCATCATGTACGGATCCATTCACATCTCTATCCCCATCGCTCTCGCTTTCGTCTTCGTCGTACTCGTCTTCGTCGTCCTCATCTGGATAGACCTCATCTTCATCATCTTCATTCTCGTATCGGCCAGACTGCTTCCCGGGCCGCTTTCTCTTTGTCCCCCTGCGGCCTGAAATGGCTTTGGCGGTGGCTTCTTCGACCATGCGCTGAATTGCCGGAGCAAAAGTTGTGACGAATGCATCCTCGACGCGTCTCATTAGGCCGGCAGATACCGTGGCCACCGTCGCCTCCTCAACACGTCGACCCAAAGTTTGTGCCAACTCTGCAAGCTGGCCCGTAGAGAGGGTCAGGGTGACACATGACGGATCTGGTCGCAAGGAGATTGAACTCTGCATATTGACATGCGTGCCACTACTTCTTAAGTTCTGAGGGCCACTTGTTGTGCCTGCATCCTCCGGGCGGCCCAGGTCATTGTCGACCAAGTCATCGCCACCGAGTTGGCTCTCACATTGTTGGTCGCCTGAGTCCTCCTCTTGTCCCGAGTCCTTCTCTTGCTCGCTGCATGCGCTCTCGCCTTGTATGCTACGCCCCAGGCGGCTCCCTTCGGCGGTCGGGCTGACGGCTGCATCCTCTTTCTCCCTCGTGCCGCGCGGGCTCTCGCTGTTAACGGTGAAGATTTCCATAACGTGATGAGATGGGTGGAGCCGTAGGCATTGCTCGTGGAGGTTGACCGTACCGGGGCAGTTCTGGCTCTCGAAACGGGCTCCGGTAATCCGCCGTGTGCAGAAGCAGCATGTGTATACAGAGCGCCCTCGTTTGGACCGGGCTTTGTATGCTGATTGCTTGTGCGCCGCTCCCTTAGACGAGGTCTTAGACCTCTGAGTAGATGGGGAAGGTGCTGTCGGAGACGGGGTGATTGTTTCTTCTTGGGCTGCCGCGAAGCTGTGTTCAGGATGGGCGATGGCTGCGTTTATAACGCAGCTCTCGCAGAGGAATACGTCTTGACAGTCCCGGCAGCGATATCTCAAAGTTGTGCAGTGTACCGACTTGAGACAGAAGCAGCACTCTTCGCTGTAAGCACCCCTAAGGATGGTACTGCTTTTGTCTGAGCTAAGGCTGCGTTTGCGGCCGCTGTCTTTGGCATCCCCACGTCTCGGAGAACCTGACCGCAATCTTGTATGTATTGCTCGACTTGGAGGTGTGTCTTGCGGCGCGGCAGATTGAGTTGATAGTGATGGCGATGTCTTGTCCGCCGGTCGGCCGGAGTAGCGCGCAGTCTTCGATTGCTGCAGAGTAGTATATAAGGAGGGTGTATAGGAGCGGCTAAGAGCGAATATCATGAGAAGGTAATCAGCAGATTACTGTGTAGTCGTCCTGTTTAATGCTCGCCATTTAGTAAGGTTTTGTTAAGAGCGGGGAGGTTTTGAGGCATATGAACTTAAAACAGCAATTAGCACTGGTTGTTGGACGGTATATAATGTGGAGAGATGGAGTATATTGGCATGGCGCAGATGTGCAAGCCGCAGGTTTACTTTTCTGCCATTTGGGGAAATGGAAATAGATAAGGAGCGATTGCCTAAAAGGGCAAAGCTGTCACAAATATTATTTATTTATTTACTTACTTATTTATTTATTTATTTATTTATTTATTTATTTATTTATTTATTTATTTATTTATTTATTTATTTATTTATTTATTTATTTATTTATTTATTTATTTATTTATTTATTTATTTATTTATTTATTTATTTATTTATTTATTTATTTATTTATTTATTTATTTATTTATTTATTTATTTATTTATTTATTTATTTATTTATTTATTTATTTATTTATTTTTACTTTATTTATTAACCCTATTAACTAAACTAATTTCAACCCTGGTTAGCACGGTTTCTCGTGAAGAAGGTGTTTGAAATAGGTAGCACGAAAACGTTGTGTTCAGATCATATAGGAGAGACGTTTAGGCTATGAAGTAGGCCATAGGGAAAATGGATGCACCCACGCGCCTGAGCGTAATTCTAGGCCTTATATGGTGGCTTTCTGGATTCAACAACTGCAGACAGATACGCCATTCCCGTGCTGGCTTTTCATTCGTCCACCGCACCTGAATGTACGGCTGACCACTCAACAATCAATTGCGTTCCGTCTGAATGGAAACATTCTACAACAAATCCATTCTAGTCAGACTTAGAATTGCCCCGATGTGTGACAAAAGCATGACCTAGCCGCAGTGGCTGAATGAATTTCGGGATTCCGTGGAAGCTCTTCCGGAACATAGTTACCTGCTCCCCTATTAAAGTAGATAATACCTAGGTATAAAATAGTCTCGCGATCAATGTCCCAAACTGCTGGAAGATTCATTTCGACTACCCACGACGCTCTGCTCAAAACTACAAGTCTTTGGGGTCTTTTTTGGCCTCGTCCGTAATATCCATCCGGGCAGTCGCCTCAACACTCCAGTGGCACCCCTTGACTTGCCGCAAAATACTCGTCCACGGCTGACTTGAATCGACTCAAGCAGCCATCCTATCAAAATGGTCGAGTCACCTCGACTTGTGTGGCCGTCTTCTGACAAGTGCCTATCTTAGGAGCGTCCGGTGAGGAGTTTTATCAACGAGATCTTGTTCCAATACTTATCCGTGGTTCCGTCTTTTTTCCTTGGAGTTCCATTCGTAGTGTGTCTGCAGTTTGCAGACCGATCGAGCCAGCTCGATCTCGGACTCCAATTCATTTGCGCCTCCGGTCGTTCGAGCTTCATGGGCTCGTTTGATCTCTTCCACGCTGTTCGGGAAATATCGGTGGCTCTTGAATAAGATACCAGGTTTGAGGGAGCCAGAGTACGCCCACCCAGCTTCCACAGTACGCCCACCTAGCTTTCAGCGTTGGCCCACCTAGTACTTCCTTTTCTTAAGATTATATTAATAAGATTAAGTACTTTTTTAAATTTACCCTATATATAAAAAGTTAAGGTATTTATTTTTTAATTTAAGCAATACTTTAAAAATATAAGCTTAAAAAACTTAAAGCCCTTAAAGCCCCCAGAGACTTTAGAGGCCCTTAGAGCGCCCAGAGGGCTCCGAGGGGGCCTAGAGGGCCGCGAGAGGGCGCAAAGGGCCGCAGAGGGCGCAGAGGGCCGCAGAGGGCGCAGAGGGGGGCAGAGGGCGCCGAGGGGGCAAAGGGTGCTAAGGGGGTAAAGGGCAAAAAGGTAAAAGTAACTTTTAAGTTATAAATAAAAAGATAGCTATAAAACTTCTTTAAGATAATTATAGCTATGCTTTATTAATAACCTTATAATATTAATATTTTATAGAACATATAGCCAATTTCCTTATACTGGGTAGGCCAACGCTAAAAGCTGGGTGGGCGTACTGTGGAAGCTGGGTGGGCGTACTCTGGCTCGGTTTGAGGTTCTTCATGGAACATACACATCTTGAAGGGCGGCATTGATCTTGACCAGCGATTTCCCCACCAAAATCGGAACAGCGGGAATTGGCCGTCCCGTCGCTCTTTTGTATGATTCCGAGATATGTTCCATGGTAGCTGCTTCAGATGTAATTGCTAGTGTCTTGTGCAGATGTTTGTCGTGTTTCTGCGTCTTGGCCAGCGGTGATGTTCCCACTTGCTTCTTTGAGCCAAGTACTCACCATCAGCACACCGGCTGCGACTCTGCCAATATCTTCTGAGGCCTTGAGAGATTGCAGAAGCTGTACCACCATCATTAGCTTGAAGCCACTCGACATCTGACTGGGACTCACAACTAGGTTGATAGTGGTATCTTTGTCCAGCCCTGCCCGCATACCGCTGACTGTGATGGCGCCTAGGAAGCCGTCGAAGTTCTCCATGAAGAAGCCGGGTCGGATGATGCTATGGCTTCTCGTCAGCAACTACCAATAAATCAGCCGTGATCAACACCTATCATCTCACATCCAATTCAGTCCTTGGTAACCCAGTTCCCCACAACAGTTCTCAATCCGTGGCTTGGCGCGGTGAGAATTATCAAGATGGTCTTCCTCGCTGGGCCCGACCTAGATTGCACTCGAGTATATAAAAGCCTCAACCTTGAATTCTAGCGCAAGGTCGGCCAGCAACTACACAACGAGGAGGGTCAACAGGTTTTGTGTGAGCCCAGGTTTCCCAGTAAGAAGCATACTTTGGCTTGCTTGCTCCCCCCCTCTGCGCTCTCGCCGAGTCTGGGATAAGCCAGTGCGACGAAGACTCCCCAAATTCCACGGCCGTGTGACGATGCAGCATCTTGAAAGGCCTTCCTGATGCTGTCTGGTTTGTCGAGGTCTCCCTGCACCAGACTAAAAATATTCACGTGCTGCTTGTTCCGTTCGAGCAGTTGGCGGGCACATTCTGATGATGTGTCCCGCGTGAGAGCCAGGGCCTTGAACTTGATAGCCGGCGATGCTGGCTGATCCGGTTCGAGTAGGAACTTGACGGTACTCCTGCCCTGCTTGCCTGTTGCTCCAACGACTAGGACAGTCCGTTCGGCCTCCATGGTTGCACGGGTTTTTTTTTGGTATTCTGTAAAAATTCAAACTATGGTTGTTGGGATCACGAACACCACCTCGCGTTCGGATTGCCCGGCGTTTAATGTAGCAATTCGAACATCGCAAATCACACTCAGAACAGTTATGATTCAGGGGCCGAAACTCTAATCCCGCTCGAGCGTCTTGCATGTGTCTTATGCTTGGGCATCAATTCAGGCCATCGGAAAATCGGAAAGACGAGTATATTGCCCAAACCTGCTCTCTAAAGCATTACAAAACGACAGAGACTTTAAACAGCCTCGAAGGTACATTGTCTCTTGTCCCGCCAGGACAATCATTGTCCCAGCTTAGTAGAGGTGCTCGATGAATACAAATAGTCCATTGCCAAATCCTGAACGCGATTAGATCCACCAGAGACTGTCGTATGTGGCAGGCTGGACATGGAGGCCATAGAGGAATAAGAATGGACTTGAGACATCATTCCTCGTCAATTGGTCTACTGATGGTGACACAAGGTATGGGGGTCAGTGCTGGGGTCAGTGCTGGGAGGATGTGCAGCAACCCTTGAGGGTCAGGGTTAACGTCGCCCAGCCACCCATTTTTGGAGATTGCTGAATCACGTGACAGCGCTCCGCTTCCAAGACTCCTTCCCTAGTCTGGCGCGTAGCAACGACTTGCCTGTTCATTTCTCCAGACTCCACCACCACACGCCATCAGTGCATCAACACAACTGTCGTCATCACTTTCGCGTGCTACTTGGGATCTCGTCCATAAGCGCCTATATCACTAGGCTGCTGTGCTGCGTACAGCCGGAGGTCTAAATACCGCATCGCACCCCTGCGGTAACACCCTCAAAGGGACACAGGCACCTCGCACCCTTTGCCAGGCGACAGGCCGCTGCCCATCATCGAGAGTCGACAGTGGTTGCAAACCCTCTCTATCTCCCTGGTGGCAGTGCCTGGGCTCAGGGACAACGTCTTCTCCACCGAGAAGGTTCTGCTGGACTGCGAAGCCCGTGTCTCTTGGGATGTCCTTCAGGCCAAGGCGGCGTGGACGACTCCCTCGACGCATTCGTTCACACCTCATTCAGCCGTAGCGAACCCTCTCGCACAACGGCCCTTCTTCTGAACAGAGTCAAGGCTGCTCCTCCGACTTCGAGAAAAGCCTGGGCGGGTGGGATCCTGTGTCGAGTGCACAGGTCACTGCCGACACAGGGGTTCAACTTTTAGGCACCTGCTGTTGAACGGATGGATGCGTAAACCTGTCGTCCTTATTTGTATGACGCGTCACTACTAACCTTCTAATCTTTATAAACAGCCTCTAGTCTCGAATGTAATGGCGCAGAACCCAACGTCCGAGTCGGTCGAGGGCTGCCCCGACAACGTCGTCGTGCGTCTCAATGCAGTTCCCGCGCTCGTTGAATGGGTTAGTTCCGATGGGCAGACAACCCAGCTTGGCGACTCTTTATCCGCCTCCCCAGTCTCCCTCGACATGACCTTCGATTCCACGGCCAAGTCTATTTTCCTCAGGCTTCGCATCACCGTCCAGATCCACCGGGACTCGAGCAACAAAACGCCACTGTATCTACACATCGGGCCCGAAGACATCGAGATCATTGCCTGCCAAGGTGCCGCTCAAAGTCAGGCCACTCCCACTCAGAATTCCTTCGAGATCAGGCTGAGACGGTCTGTGGCTTTGATCGGTCCTCCGTTTCGGCTTCGCCCATCCAACAAGGCTCGCGCGAGTGTGGTAAACGCTGCAAAAGAACTTGCTACGAGACGCGAATTCTCGATACACGTTCAAAATGGCTTGTTATCCGAACCCCAGTTCAAGGCAATTCGCGAAGCCGTATACAGCGAATATCATTCTAGCGGTGCACACTTAGATCTTGCCTCCTTGTATGGGGGCCTTGGGGGCAAGCAAATTGTGGCAAGAGATGCCGATATCATCCCTGCACCTGATGACGGGACAGAAGCGCCTCCGTCTTATGACGAGGTGGAAGCGCCGCCCCCGATGGCACCCCTTTGGCAGGGTAAGACAAATGATACTCCACTTTTCCGGCTTTCCTGCGCCAAAGGCTGACCCAACACAGCGTCAGACCCGGGGCCATCGAGCAAAAAGCGCCGGCTGAGTAGCTCGGCCGCTGACGCCACTGCATCCCTGCTGTCTGTCGAAACCATCTGCAGAAAGCTTATGGCCGAGCAGCAAGCCAAGACGGAGCAATCCTTGCGGGCTATGGAGGACAGACTAACCACACACTTGGACAACAGGTATGATCGTCTGCAAAAGGAAAGCCAAGAAGCTCGGGACGAACTCTCGCGCGAGCTGAGCTCAAAAATGAGCGAGTTGCAGGGCCAGGTCAACGAGCTGAAACAACAAGTCGATGGACTGAACGAAAACATGGTGGAAGAGCTTGAGAAGCTGTCCGAAGAGATTCAAGTAGTCAGCGACGACATCGACAGCAGGGTCGACTTTAGGGTGGACGACACTGCTGTCGGCTTCAAGATCGAGCTCGAGGAGTTTATACGCGACGAGTTGAAAGACGTCGAGGAGGCTGTTAAGGGCAGCCTGAGGCGGGCTAATGTGAGTATAGAATTCGAAGATTAATAGAAAATGAATTAAACATAGCTTGATTCTGTCATTGTTTACCACCTTGACCTACTTGAACCCACTTTTCCAGTCTAATTCCATTTGCTTGAGTGTTGAGACAGGGTCTCTGCGACTGCTTCAGCATCGCCTCTTGACATTCTTCAAACGAATCACCTCATATCTGGAGGTTTGAGAAGACACTCCGCCTCATTGTCGGGGGGCACTCTTGGTGGGATATTATTACCTTCGAGACAGGTAAAGTAACCTAGATATTCTAATTCTGGCTTGCTGACAACCAAAACACGTCGCCCTTTATTTCGACCCTAGCCCCTAGGGCCATGCGACCTCCCAGTACTGCCGCCTCCTATCTCACTACTCAAATCAAAACACCGTTCCTCTACCGTACACCGAGCTCTGCCGGCATATTGGCACCTTCCTCAGGGCATATGTCTGCCATCTGGTGGCGTACCTGCAGAGCCAGCGATCCCATGAGCGCGTCTTACTACGCCTTTCCATAAAAGTCATCCCTGCCCTGACCGGTATCGTCCCTGTCCTGGCCGTCTCCCTGCACAGGGACAACCCTGCTTACTGGCTCCCTGGGGGACTCGCGAGAGCGGTGAACAAGCCATACGAGGCCGACGGCAAGGCCAGAGACAGCTAAAGTGATTACACCTACAAAAGCCACGAATCCAAAGTCAAAGCCGCTGGGCGACACTCCATTCCCTGTCGTAACTGGTCACTCAAGTTAGCATATCAATCTGCTGTATTTGGAATTTCAAGGGAGCTTACAAGAAGAAGTGACCACCATATCAGTCGACGTGGGAGCCAGAGTTAGTATTGTCGTCGTCGTTGTCGTAGGTAGGTTTACAATGGTGGTCCAGCCCGGGTCAGTGGCCGGTTCACCCACGGTCTCGGTAACCCACTTTGTAGTCCATGGGTCCTCATGGCTTGTAGATGAGCTCGAAGTCTCGGTCCAGCCCGTATTGGTCGTGGTGCGGGTGTACTCGGTCGTGGATGGTCCCACGTACACGGTGGTCCATGTTGTGGTAGTCCAGCGCCTGTCATGGTTTGCTGCTGGTTCTAGCCCAGTGGCTAGGTAAGCATGCTCGTCCGTAAAATCCATAATATTCTTGGTCGTTTACGTTTGATGCAAGTGAGACTTGACTAGTAAGAATAATGAAATTTTGCATGGAACTCTTGAGGCAGAACTTCATTGCAGCGAATGAAACTGGATAAATCGCTTCTTAAATATTGTCGTCAACAGTACTGTTTCGCTGACATGACGAACACTCTCAACCGGTCACTGAGCACAAGTTTTTGAGCCTCGACTCACGGCGGCTTGACTGTAAGGCATTCGAACGGGATCTTCGATCGAACAGTTCAGGCTGACGAAACAAGGTGGCAGCTCAATTCTCACTGCCCAGCATCAGTCACGAGATGAAAGAGTTGATGAATGTGAACTATCCAAATCGACGCCGGCGGGCACACGAACCAGTTTCTCACGGCCTTGATCCACATGTGAGGTGAGTGGCGAGGCAGCATGACGCGACCAGGTGTCTTGTGGCATGACAAGCCTGTCTGCCATTCGCTCTGGGTGTGAGAGTGTAAGTGTGACTCGAGGTAGTCAAGTCTGTGATCTGATCCATGAGTGAGTTGTGTACTCTGAGCCACGCAGATTATCAAACCGTCATACGCGCTGTGCAAACCCGTGACCAGGTTAGTGTAGTTCAGTAAATCAGGGCATCAACAACAGAAGCCTTTGCGCACATAGACGCTGCCCTTTTGGCAGAGTTCTTGAAGTCAGACTCTAGTGGCTCATCCCCAGTCAGCCATCTCTTGCCGCCCACAGGATGTGTTCGTCTGAGATCTTTTACGCATATTCCTTATTGTTCACCTTGAAAAACACAAAACTGACAACATGGGCCGTGGCTTGTCTTCATGGTTGTATTTCATTGACTATTCTAGTCAAGAATCTTCATAAAGGTCTATCCCATGGAAAGATCGCTATTCATGACCGGAATTTCACATCCTGCGCCCTCTCATACGCATACGGCGTACTACCAGAACTCCAACACGGAGTCGTCCCCTCATCCCCCTCGATCTTGACGACAGGCCTCAGGACGCTCAACCTCTGCCCGCCGAACGCGCTGTTCTCGAAGCTCTGGAACCAGCCGCCCTCGGGCTGCAGGTAGTCGCCCAGCACCTTCTTCCACCCCTTCCACACCGTTACCAGCAGGTCGAGCACGTGGTGCTGGCCCCTCATCTCGCCCCACGCGAACCGCTCCTTGCACTCCTCGACGGTCCCCTCCGGGTAGAGGCCGATCTCCTCCATGAGCGCGTACGCGTTGACGCCCGTCAGGCTGGCGTGCGCGTAGTAGCTGCCGCCCTCGGTGGCCCGCCTCTTCAGCCCCAGCATGGCGCCCACGGCGCCGAGCACGCCCGTCGACATGTCCGAGATGGGCAGGCTGGGGAGGACGGCCTCGTTGTCGGGCAGCTTGAGGCTCCTGCCGGTCACATATGCCGAGCCAGCAGCGGCGTCCGCGATCTGCTGCCAGCCGGGCCGCTCGGCGTAGTACCCGTCCGGCCCGTAGCAGTTCTCGCTCACGTACACGATCCCCCTCCCGCGGGCGCCGGCGACCTTGAGCAGGTCGTTGAGGCCCAGGCCGTACTTGGGCATCTTGTTGATGCGGAAGCCCTGGATGAAGACGTCGCACTCGCCGACGAGCGACTTGAGCAGCGCGGCGTCGTCCCCCCTGCGCAGGTCGATGGCGATGGTGCGCTTCCCCGCGTTGAGGGTCAGCTGCAGGATGCTGATGTCGGGCAGGTGCGGCGGGTTGACGCGGATCACGTCGGCGCCGTACGAGGCGAGGATGGTGCCGATCTGGGGGCCCGCGATGACGCGCGTCATCTCGACGACTTTCACGCCTGCCAGTGGTCTCCTGTCGCTGGGGTTGACGGGTGGGAAGGCCACCGGCGGCGTGGGCGCGGCGTGGCCCTGGGCCTTGACGTTGACGAGCGGGTGGGAAGCAAGGGTACGGCCCATCTCGGACTCGCGCCACTGCTTGGGCGTGAAGCAGACGCTGCCGCAGAAGCCGTTGAGCAGGTTGGTCATCTCGAGCCTCTCCGGGCTCAGCCTCGACGTGTGCTCGGCGATGTGGCGGGCCGCGTCCTCGTTGGTCGTGATGGGCGCCGCCGGGTCGATGCCGATGGAGCGCAGCACGGGCTCGGCGCTCAGGCTGCCGTGCAGCGAGTACCAGACCTCCGGGTCGCTTGTTGGGTAGAGGGCCGTGGTGCGGTACTTGAGGGGCGTGTCGGTCCAGCCCATCTCCCAGTCCGGGACGAGCTTCTTGATCTCTCCGGTCTTGCTCAGCGTCAGAACGTCGACGCCGTTCAGGTAGGCCGTGGCGACGCAGCCGAACCACAGGGCGACGTGTGTTGTGTTGACGGTGATGCGACGCTCATCGTTCTTAACTCCCCTCAGGGCCAGGATCTCGTCGGCCAGAACACCGGTCATGGCGTGCAGGGCTGCGGCGACAGAGACGGCTTTTATTGGGCCGGGGATGACTGGGTAGTCCTCGCCGGTGAACTGGACTTTTGAGAGGAGTGCATCGTCTTGTGTGAAGCCGGGGGTCTGGCTGGCGAGGAGGCGGAAGATGCGTTGTGTGTCCTCAGGGACGGGCGTAAACGACTTGTCCGTGAACGTGCCTGGCCCGTAGACGTCGGCGATTTTCTCAGATGCCATGCTGATATTGTGTAGGGTTGAAGGATATTCCGGTGTAATGACTAAATCTCCTATGCTGCTAGCTAGAAAACAGATTGTTGCTGAACCAAAGATGTGTATCATTTCGATCAAGGCTTCACTCATGTTTACAGTCGAGGGGGAGCACCCCTTTAAGGACCAACGCACCCTCAAGGCCATCATACGACCGTCCACGTAACCAGGCGCGTATCACTGGGCCTGCTTGACCCTATCCACATTGTCGACGAATGCTCGCATGGGGCTGCATATCGGCGCTTGAATCTGTCCCGCGTCGAGCGACAGTCTGTACGGGCCGGCCGACTTTGGCCCCCGGAGTGTCAAAGAGCATGCATCCGAGACGCGAGTACCGAGCCACAGGAAACGGGCCCGATCGGAGGTAGACTATGACGTTAGTGAATGCTTGTCTGCTTTGGCAGGGCTGTGCGACAGAGAACTTTTCTAGAAGCTCCACGCGCCCTGTCACTCTGATCGAGTCTTGATGCAGCTGTGATGTTGCATGCCGAGGCCCTCGAGTCAGGACTTTAGGATCTGTTCCGCGCGCGGAATTCCCCCCACGATCGCATGGTTTTCTCCTTGGCTTGAGCCCGCCCATCCCCTTTCTGTCCTACCCGCACACCGGGTTCCCCAGGACGCATCTACTGATCTGCTGTCGCCGATGGGGATTTGTGTGACCCTTCTTCCCGACAACTCGGGCGCTCGCCCTCGCGGGTTGAGGCGAGTCGGCTGGTCGTGACGCGGTTGCAGAGTTGGGACGAGTTCATCAAGGAGACGGACATCATGGAATTATCCGCACGTGCATGGAGTCGAGAAACTTAATGGGCACCGCAGCTACGTAATCTTTGACGATATCCATAAAACCCACACATAGTTACACATAAACACCAAATACACACCAACCCTCTCTTCTGCTGCAATTCACAATTCGATTATCAATTTGACAACTTCAAAATCTCTAGCTGCACGTCACAAAATCATGTCCAACATCCAAGAAGTTGCCATCATCGGCTGTGGCTCCATCGGAGCCTCCTGGGCAGCCCTCTTCCTCGCCCAGGGTCTCACCGTATCAGCCTTCGACATCAACCCAGCCGCCCAGAGGTTCCTAGAAAACATCGTCTCGGACGCACTCCCCGTGTTGTCCTCGCTAGGCCTGCTCAAGAAGACCGATGCCAAGCCCTCAGATATTCTATTCACAACCACCTTGGAGGATGCCATAAAAGGCGCAGACTTCGTGCAGGAGAACGGGCCGGAGAGGCTCCAGTTCAAGCAGGAGCTATTCGACAAGATCGCACAGACAGTCGCAGAAGACACCATCATAGCGACAAGCAGCAGCGGCCTGACCTGCTCCAGCATCCAGGACGGCATGCTCGCATCATCACACCCAGAGCGCTGCGTGGTCGGCCACCCCTTCAACCCACCGCACCTGATCCCGCTGGTCGAGGTCGTCGGCGGCCGGCAGACTTGCCGGGCGGTCATCTCGAGGACGATGCAGTTCTACGCGGAGGTGGGCAAGAGGCCGGTGGAGGTCAAGAAGGAGGTCGTGGGCCACGTGGCCAACCGGCTGCAGGCGGCGCTGGTGCGCGAGATGATGTACCTGCTGCAGGAGGACGTCGCCACCATCTCGGACCTCGACACGGCCATGAGCTTCGGGCCCGGGCTGCGGTGGGGCGTCATGGGGCCCAACACGCTATTTCACCTCGGCGGTGGGGAGGGCGGGATCCAGCACATGGCGGACCACCTCCTGGGCCCGCTGATGAGCTGGTACGCGCCCAGGGACCCTGTTGTCGACGATGAGCTGAAGAAGAAGTGGGTCGATGGGACCATGGAGGAGGTTAATGGGAGGGATTACCGCGAGTTGGCTAGGCAGCGTGATGAGGAGCTGGTGAGGTTGTTGAATGTTAGGCAGGAGTGGGATGATTTTGCGGAGAGGAAAAATTCTGAGTAAATATAAGTATTGCATTGCTTTGTTATTTGATATCCTTTTAGCTGTAGTTCGCGAAAGCTCTTCAAGTATGTAATGGCAAGGGAACCCGCGGTGTCTGGTATATACACGTAGCGCAATTAATGGACGTAATAGTTGGACTATGTGTGGGTGATATCTTTCCAAAATCAGACTTTCCCTGCTACTGTAAAGCTATGACTTGAATTTTTGACAGAAATGGCAAACACCACGATATCTACTACCCTCAAAACAGACATGCGAGTGTTGAGAGAACACCAACCCGGCCGGTGTATTCGCACCGGTGATCAACTGGCCCTCATAGAGAGGGGGGATGGTGACCGAAAGAAATGTATCGCTTTGGTTCTAACAGGGGCCATAATCTGAACGACACCATCACCGCCATCAATCTTACCTGGGCGCAACCTGACATGGTGTTTACTTGACCCACTCAATTGGAGACATCGACGTTGAGCAGCAACTCAGGGGATGCCTGTCCACCTGCGCATTCCGCTGTCATGGCTCAAATTCCGCGCCGGATCGGGGGACCCGGTGTTATGACATGGTGCTGCGGGTCCTCCCGTGTCAAGGAGTCCTGACAGTCGAAAGAGCGAGAGAAGGCGAATTGTGGACCGCCTCGCCGCCCAACCGGCCACTTCGCTATCCCGCCGCCTGGCGAGGCGATCCAAACTGGGTGCAATGAGATAATTTCATACCCACCAAAACTAGGCTGCCCAAGGGTGGCCAACAAGGAAGGGCTGTCCGTGATGTCAGGCCAGCGAAATAAAACCACAGCAGTTGGCCTCGACTCCCATCGCCCCAGGCTGAAAGGAACTGAGCCTTGGAATATTACAGTGACCCGCTCCAATTGCAAGGACACATCCAATATATCATCAATACGCTGTGAAGTATGGGTTCTCAACCTCAGTCCCACAGGCATCTTTACATCCTCGACACCGACCTGTCACAGCCCCAGCCGCGATGTGGTCGCATCCTGTCATGCCTGGCCGACGGCAGCGACAGGCAAACAGTCATAGATAACATAACCACAATGCCGGACGGGATCACAATCGACCACGAGAACGGCCACATGTACTGGACAAACATGGGCCGCAGCCTCAAGACACAAGGCGGCTCCATCGAGCGGGCAGACCTCGACGGCTCCAACCGCAAGGTCATCGTCCCGCCCGGGTCGCTCGGCGTCTTCACGCCCAAGCAGATCACCATCGCCAGGCGGAGCCGGAAGCTGTACTGGTGCGACAGGGAGGGCATGAAGGTGATGCGCGCCAACCTCGACGGCTCGGGCGCCGAGGTGCTCGTCTCGGCGGGGGACTCGGACGAGGACGGGCGCGACCAGCGCAGGTGGTGCGTCGGGGTCGCGGTCGACGAGCGGCGCGGGTTCTTCTACTGGACGCAGAAGGGGCCCTCCAAGGGCGAGCAGGGCCGCATACTCCGGGCGCCGGTCGAGGGCCCGCCGGGGTTCTTCCCGGACAGGCGGTGGGACGTGCAGGTCGTCTTCGACAAGCTGCCTGAGCCGATCGACCTCGAGATGGACGAGGAGTCGCAGACGCTGTACTGGACGGACCGGGGGGATCCCCCGGACGGCAACTCGCTCAACAGGGCTGCTATTGGCATGGGTGGGGTGCCGCAGGTCTTGGCGACGAGGTTGCATGAGACTATCGGGCTGGCGTTGGATAGGGAGGAGGATGTAGCATATGTGACGGACCTAGCGGGGGGTGTTTACGCGATTGATATTAAGACGAGGACGAAGAAGGTCTTGTTCCCGGAGTTGGGAGATCTTACAGGCATTGCATTGGTTTGAGCATTAGGTGGAGTTAACTCGGGAGCATCTAGATTACAAGAATTGATCGAGGCGCGAGTCTCACGAAAGATCAGAAAAGGATGTTGCAGTAAATTACGAATGCAGCACCTCCACGAGTCGCCACTTTGTTGAGGCATTACCGAGAGCAATGCAAACGTTGTTAGATTCTATGGAACAGAAAGGCTAGGCCTGTGAACACAAGCTTCCCCGTATTTATGAAGCTTCCAGTCTAAATCTTTCTCTAGATTGTGGGTCTCGAGCCTGGAGTTGCTCTCCGATCTATGCTTAAGCTATTCGTAGATGGCGAAGATGGATGGCCATGACCTTGCAGTTTTTCTTCCTACCTCACTGCGCACATCAGGCAGCCTGTGAGAATTTTTCATGGATTAGCCACGAAAACATTGAGTTTTGAATGGAGTTGTAGTGGCATACCCAAAGACAGTAGGGCCTGCCCTCTTCAGACCTTCCTTCGTGTACCAGACAGCAGGGGCGGGCATTGCAATGATATCTACACGCAAGCCGTAGCGGACTTCCGTGACGCCAATCGGCATTCCATCAGCCCCATCAAGCATCTGCATGGTAATTGTTAGCCGTCTTTCCGCAAGTGTCGTCCATGCTCCATCAACTCTTACGCAGATCAAGTCTGGACTAGCAGCCAAATATTGGTCAACATAACCATCGCCCTCTTTCCTCTTGAGGACTGCGGCTGAGAATTCGTTGGTGAAGATCAGTTCAAGGTATTCGTCATCATCATCAGTCTCCAGACCATGGGATCCTTCTGGTCGAATTACGCAGATTCCCTTGGTCAGGCTGTCAGCAACCTTCCTCGACACGGAATGGATCTTTCCCGAGAACAGGACATCCCCGTTTGCTGGCTCGACAATTGCCCGGGCGACATTGATTTTGGACTGGCGTGCGAGATACATTCTGCGACCGATTTCCCAGGCTGTTTGTCGGTTTCAACAGCACAAGGTCAGCCTGGAGCTGTCTGGGAACGAAAGCTCGGTCGGGATGTCTCTTACCGACAGAGTAACTGTTCTGAACAAACATCTTGCTCTCGCCGCCAACCAATGGCGCCAGACACATACCGGCAATGGACTTCATGGCCCCACAAGCAGCCCGCGCCAGCTCCTCTAGGTGCCAGTCATCTCTGGCCGTCTTGATTTGCTGTAGGAAGACACTCCTTAGTCCGTCGAACTCTCCACAAATTCCACATTGCTCACGGGGTGGGGGTAATCAGTGGGCGGGTCAGGCATACCACGATGTTACCATTACCATCCGAAAGAGCCACAGGGGTCAGCTTCTTGCCGTAGACTCCCAGCACGGTCATATACACGTGGGGATAAGCACGTCCCATAAGGTCGGCATCCAGGACTGTCTTATCGAGTAGTGCGCCTGAAAGTAACGCCTCGAGTGCATTGATGCCGCCGATCTCTGTCGGGACAATATGGGAGAAGTTGGGTATGCCGGCACAATCCAACGTAGCATACATTGCTTCTTTTGTCCTGGACGAAATTCAGGAGGAATGAATAACGGGCTTGAAAGTTCAAGACTTACTCGTTTCCGGCTGGCAGTCGTTCCACAAACACCGACGGGGATCCCTTCAAAGAGAACTCATTAGCCTGTGCCCAGTGCTTGGCATGATGTAGGGAAGAGCCGGTTGGTACTGGCTTCTCACAAGGACAAAACGCAAATCAGGGAAAGTTGAGACGAGTGCTCACCATGTATAGAGGGGCACAAATGACCGCATCAGCACCAACAGCGCTGCAAGACACAACACGGATCTTCCGACCCTCTCTGAGGCACGCCTTTAATGACAGAAGCTGGTTTGTCGCTTCTCCGATGCAGCCAACCCCCAACACCCCAGTGCCAGCTATCAGAAGCTCGATGTCTGTCTCCGAAACAGTCCAAACGCCGTTTTGGATATCCGGGCGGTAACCTTGCACGTCTAGTTGGGAGTGTTGTGCTCTGCTGTCAGCATAGGTACTTTCACCATCGTGCAAGTGACCTGCAGTTGTAGAGGACAAGTCTTGGTCATAGTCCATGTCTTCAGTCTCCGTATGGTTGCGACCAAGGGCAGCGACATCTTTGATGGTGGAGACCACGCGGACCACGAGGCGGAAGGTGCCGTCCATGGCGTATGGCTCGGGAATGGTGTCCAATTCCACAATCTCGACGTCCGATGGGTCGCCACCGGCCTGCTCGCACATTGCGACGGCCTGCCGCTTCCCGTCCGCCACAATGTCGCGGATACTGCGGTCGCCAGGTTTGATGAGCTTGTCGAAAGTGCTACTAATCTTGCCAATCTGGCTCGCAGTTGCATTTTTAGCCACTTTCGTGCCTCTGCATGACCTACCGGACTGGGTAGAGAGTACTTACCGCGGCTCCCACTGCGTTGGCCACCTGGTAGAAAGGCGGCCGGACCACATAATCTGTCCCCTCGATACGATCGGGGAGGATGAAGCTGCCTCCGCCTACAAGAAGGACGGTAGCATCCTCCACTTTTGTCTTTGAAGCAGTCACAGAGTCCTCTATCAACCGTTGAATTACGCCTTTCGCCGCATCAATAGTCTGGAAGGCTATTCCTCGTTGATGCAGGTCGTCAGGTTGGAGGTGTTTAAGATCTCCGGCCTATTCACGTGATGAATGAGAACTGGTCAGCACTCTTTGGGTGCAACACAGCACTAAATAGTGCGGCAGAAAGGTGCACTTGACATACTGTAAAGACCGGGCCGCCGGAGTGGAGGGCCTTTGTTGACTCTTCCAAAGCCACAGAGTCAGGACCAACGGAAACTTGCGATTCGTGGTTTCTGATGATAGAACCTGCCCCTAGGGCAATGCTGTGAACATCCGGCATGGAGAAATTGGTCTTGACACCTGCAACCTTTACACAGGCCGCCGATTGTCGAGGGTAGCCGTTCGGCAGGAGACTGCACACATCTGTTGTAGTCCCGCCCACGTCAATGACCAATAGGTCACGGCCATTCTCCGTGCTGGTAGCTACCATCTCTCGAGCCAGGAACGCGGCTCCCCGCGCACTATTCGTCGGCCCGGATGAGAAACATCGAAGTGGATTCGCAGCAGCGTACGAGGCGCGTGCGAGTGTGCCGTCATTGAGAGTGATGTACAGGCCGGCGTTGACGAGGAACCTGGTTGCCTTGTCAAGGCTGCGGACGACCTGGCGCGAGAAGCGGCGGATGCTGGCATTGAGGATTGCGGCGTTCTCTCGTTCAAGGAAGCCGGCTTGGCCAATGGAGTGGGAGCAAGAAATGTCGAAGCCAGGGCCCATCTCTTCAGCCAAGAACCGGGCGGCATCGTCTTCTTGCTTCCTATACGAGGGCGAGTAGACTCCCACAATTGTGATGGCGTGGATTCCCAGCTCCATTATCTTGCGAGCGTGGGCTCGGAGTTGGTCATTCGACACTGCACTTATCTCCTGTCCATCAACTGGGACCAAATCAGTTTCCACGTGCTTAACAGGACAGCTGCGTGATACTTACTTTGGTAGCCACCATCGAGGTAAGCATAGTAGCCCTCCACGACGGACTTCAAGGCATGTGGAAATCCGTCTGGAAAGTGTTAGGCTAGGAGCTGTCTCTCTGTCCCGCTGTCCCAAATCCGGTACCCACCAAAGGGTGTGACACTACGTGTATATGGGCCACAGAGGCGTAATACTGCAACCCTGTCCAATTTGCTTCTGTCAAGTTCGAGTACGGCATTCACGAATTGCTGGTGCCGCCATGTTAGCCGCAGTACAAGCTGGAGCACTTCAGTCCGTAAAGATGCCCTGGCCTACCGTTGTCCCAATCTTGATAGCCATAATGGAGGCAGCGGGCACATTCGCCATTTTCAGGGCCTCGATAATGGACTCCGTAACTCCAGAATGAATGTCCTTAGTTGTCGGTGCTTTGTGCCATCCAATGACTTCATTCCCATTTAGGATGACAGCATCCGTGTTTGTTCCTCCGACATCTACCCCAACCACCCTGACCTCGGAGGTGTCTGGCATGGCTTTGCTGGTCGTTTCAGGCATAATGGCTATAGCTTCATGGATTGACGAAAAGAATGATACCAGCTGGGGTAGTGCAGTGTACGTTATGAATTTACCACGTTGAGTCTATCAGAGCTGAGTAATTAAACCTCCGCTGTGCGCCCCGAAGTCAACAGGACGCCAATCAATTGCTACGAAGCTATGCGCCATTTGAGGGGAACGGGTGTTTTCAGGCAGCGATGTGAGACATGCTTGACCCCTCTCGACAAACAGCCAAACCATTGGGTAGGGACGTGGTGTGGGAAGTGGACATTTTTCCAGTTCGGGACCAAGCCACGGGAGTGATCTTCAACCCAGCCCGTTCTGCCAATATCAGGCTTGTTGACTGGGAAAAAGCTCAGGGAAGCTTATCATTCGGTAGCAATCTGCTGCAGTTGCTATTGGACATTTCGGTCTTAAGCCAAGGGTTCGCACCTGACGTGAGCCTCTAAGTGCGTGGGTACGTGCAGCTATTGAAACCATACATGCGCCCTGCAGCGTGACATCGTCTGCGAACCCGTTTTGCCCCCTCCATTTCAGTTTCTTGTCCAAGCCGCCATATTAATTTGCTCTCTTTCCCTTTCCAGTAATGCGTAAACTCAACTTTGTGCATTATCACAGCAACCTGTCATTGCCATGGACCTGCAGGCGTCTAGTGATGAACGTCCGGGCCCAGATTCCCCCGGGTCGAAAACGGCACAGGAAGAAATCACGCCGGACGTCACTGAGGAAAATGTTACTGAGAAAGGAATCAAAGCTGAGAAATATGCGTACTACGGCCTCTTCGCCGCGAACAATGGCATCGGTCCGTACCAGTAGTGAGTAAAGATCACCGAGTCACAGGTCTCGTAGCTTTTTCGACATGCGTCTAACAGCCAGGGGGTAAAAAGCGCCTATTCTCTGTTCCAGACCTTGATCTACCAAGCCGCTTTCAATCCCAACATATTGCCATGGGGCAGCGCTTCTTGCGACGAGGACCCAGATGCGCCTTGCCACGTCACCTGGGCTGGAGGGACCAAGTCCTATGAATCGGTGGCACTGATCGCCTCTGCATTGGTGTTCGTCGGCCAGTCCATCCTGTTCATCTTCATCGGCAGCACGGCGGACTACGGGTCGTGGGCTCCTTGGATCTTGCGCATCTCCGTCCTGATCTACGGCGGCTTGTCGCTGGGGTTCTTCGGTCTGAAGACACCAGATGCTTGGCCGGCAGCCATGGCATTGTACACTCTCACAAGTGGGTCACTTTTTGACCTACGCAATGATCACTCTCTTGCTTTCGCCTGTCGTTGCTGATAGCATGTTGCAGACATCGGATTCTACGTCGTCTTCACTTTTGGTTACGCGTTGTTTCCTAGGATATCAGACGACCAGCCGGAAGCAAGGAAAGCCCGACTCGCCTTGCAGAACCAAGAGATCACAAGCTCGGAGTACGACACCAAAATCGAGCATGTCCGCTCCACCATCGCCAACCACGCCTGGGCAGCCAACAACGTCGGGTTCGCAGTGAGCGCCTGCCTCTGCGTGGGAATTCTAAAAGGCATCGATGCGGACTCCTCGGCCTCGAAGAACAACCTGGGCTACGCGCTGTGCACCGGCGTGGTGGGCATCATTGTGCTCGTTCTGTCGGTGCCGTGGGTGTTCCTTGAGAAGCGGCGACCCAGGTTACCTGTCCCAGAAGGCCGAAACATCGTCAGCTACGGCCTCCAGCAGACTTGGCACAGCTTCAAGTACTGCAGGAGGATCTCGCAGACCTTCCTCTACCTCTTCGTCTATTTCTGGCTCAAAACGACGGTGTCAGTACGCTTTTCACGATGCTCATCATCTCGCAGACAGCGGTTGCCCAGTTTTCAGCCACACAGAACAGCTACTTCCTCATCGTGCAGGGAGTATCGGTATTCATATTCACGGTGTTTGCTGTCTGGGCCCAGAAGAAATGGTCGCTGCGGACCAAGACGATCCTCCACATTACCAACTGGTCATGCTTCTTTAGCCGTCTGGGGCATGGTCGGCCTGTGGACCAGGAAGATCGGGTACCACAACCTGTGGGAGTTTTGGGCAGTCAGCGTCTTCTACGGGCCCAGCGTTGGTCTGCAGATGTCCTACTCCCAGGTCTTTCTCGGCCAAGTCATTCCACGTGGAGAGGAAAACAGATACTTCGCCTTGCTAGGCTTCATTGGCCGTGTTGGCTCGTGGATTGGGCCACTCATCTGTAGTGCGATAGTGGACCGAACAGGGACTCAGAATGCATCCTACGGATTTCTGGCTGCTCTGATCGGCGCATCATCGTTGGGGTTGATATTTGTGGACGAGGCGAAGAGCAAACTGGAGTGCGCAGAATATGAAGCCACAGAGCATAAAGTCGCGGAAGAACAAGAGCCACCACTACAGGGAAAAGATCAAATTTGGGAGGCCAAGACATGATTAGTCAAGAAAGCCATCGAATGATCTGGGATCATGTGGCTCCTCTATTCCGGACTAGCTGTCAAACAAAAAGTCCAAGCGCTTGTTGCCCTCATCGTGGCTATTCTGAAGACACCAAACCTTCTCTTCGTCTGTCATCTTGCTCCATAGATCCCTTTTGTATTTGTTCCGAGCAGTGTAATATGCCTTAGCAAATGCATACCTACTATTGTGCCAACAGTAATTGCAATCAGGTTCATATTTCCTCGACGATAGTGGGGCTTGTCGTCTTCACGATACATGTTGGATGAGGCGATTCCAGAAAGTTGTATGGTAATGTTGTAAATCGCAGCGCTGACAGTTCTGGTGCGGACTGCATTGGACAGTCGAGAACACCAGCCGACTTGGGCCGCGTGTGCTGAAGGTTGACCAAGAATGATAAACGTTAGCGCGTACTGGCCCCAGGATGATAGCTCCGTGATGGACGTGTACTCGACGATGAGCAGTGGCAGTACCCATTTCTGGGCAAGAAGACCGATGATACTTTGGTGAAAGCGTTCAGTCAAATATGTGACCCAAAGCATGTTTATGGCTGCAAAGATGGTAACCGGAATCGTGAGAAGAGTGGTGTTGAAAGTGGTGAACCCGAGCGCTTTGAGAGACAACGTGAGATATGTCTTGGGAGGTGCGGTCGGAATCTCGAAGAGGATACCAATGAGATAGATCGGCCAAAGATCATAGTCTTTGAGACTTTTCCACGACATTGGCAAGGTGATGGGCTCTCGGTTATGCATGTCGCTCTTCGACGGATCATCTCTCAGGACCCTGTTGACGATGATCTTTTCCTCGCGCTCCGTGAAATAGCCGTGTGGATTCCACCACGTCATTGTTTGCGTTGGTCCGGGAACCAGGAAGAGGAAACTGAGAATGCCAATAACCAAGCTGACAAGTGCTTCCAGCAAGAACAGCCATCTCCAACCCTCTATTCCCGCGACGCCGCGCATGTGCAAGATCCCGTATGCCAAAAACGACGCAACAACTCCCGACATGGAATCGACGAACCAGAAGAGAGCCAAGCGAACCGGCATTTCTGTCTTCTTGTAGAAATATGACAGATAGAGAATGGAGTCAGAGATGAAACCGCCCATGAACAAGCCGATGAAGAAACGACAGGCTAAGAACCCGGCCCGATTGTGCATGAAGAATTGGCCGCCGGATGCTATGCTCCACAGGATGATTTGGACAGGAATCCATCGGTCCGGTCCAAGCCACTTTCCAACCATCTGAGACGGTATCTCGGCAATCAGGAAGCCAACTCGATACATGCTCTGCGCATCATTGTGGTCGTTGGTGTTGATGTTGATGTCCCCAAGCAAATTGTCGGCGGCCGCGTTGCCAAGGTTTCCTCTGTCAATATTGAGTCCGAAGAACATGACTAAGATCCAAATGAATATTTTGTAGTCGGTCTTGCGGTGGACAGCTTGCTCTTCGCTGAAGGTCCAACGCTCCTGGGGATCATATCGATGTAAATTCTCATAATCCGGACCGGGCTGGTAGAACTGTGCCAGCTCGGGGTTATCGAAAACGCTGCGCTCGGTGGCGATGGCGTCGGGATCCCTCGGGCGTTTTCGATGTGTGAGCGCTTCCCAAAAGCCAATGTTGCGGGCGGTGTCTTCGGGCTCGGCGAGATCATCAACGGCTTCTTTTGGCCCGACATCCTCCAAAGAGGTCTTAGTGTCCCCCTTCAAAGAACCCCCTAATAGTTCAGGTCCGGTGTGGAATGCAATGTCGTCTTTCTCAACCATAATTCCTAACGCGGAGCAGTATGTTATAGTGGAGGCGGTTTTCCATAGGCTGTAGAAAGTTATCTTCAGCGGAATAATTAAAGGAAGATGTACCCTATAGTCGAGCCACGAATGATGATCAGCTGAGATGAAAAATCGATAAACGAGTGTTGTGGATCTCGTCGTCGATTAAATGCGAGAACCGAAACAAACAAGACAAACAGTACTCACGGCTCAAAAGTGGCTCCCATGGCGTGCTACGGCCAGATCATGGGGCGTTCCAGTCCGCGGACAAGAAAGAGAATGCGAGGCCAAATCGTGAACAATTTTCTCCGGTAGTCCTCACCCCTGGGTTCTTTTATCACCGGCCTCGGCATGATAATAATACGAGAGATCCTCTTAGAGCAGGTAAAAAGACCGCACTATGTCTGTTTAGTCCGCAGTAGCAGGGTATGCGACTAGCGAGAGGATCATGGTTTGCTATCACGGCATGGCATCATTCGGATGCAGCATCACGCCAAGCATTTATGCAACTGCAGAATCTATCCTTGCCTCCACGTGGGGACATCACCGAGCAGGTTTGCCACTCTAGATGTTGATCGTCAACACTATTGGGGCAATTAGAGAGCCATCATATCCATCTCAAAATGCTTAGATCATTCTTAGCCTCCAGACATAATGTATCCGGCACAGTCTGGCTTTGTGTTCAGGAAAAGATAACCATTTGGTGGTAGGCCTTGAGTGAAGGCAAATGCATACCCCTGGAGCAGTGCTGTTGAGAAATAGTCATTGGTTTATGCTATGTCAGTGCAATGAATTCTGTACAACTTGAAGAGACCCGAGCGATCAGATGGCTACTTTGAGCAGGTATGAAAATGACTCACGAAGATCCACGTTTGGACAGGCATTGGTTGAATTCTGAATTGGGAGCCTACCCTGCAGGAACCTGGGGCTCAGGGACACCCAGCAAATAGCCATCCCCAATAGTGTGTTTGAGAAGACTGCTTCAGAGAATATTATTTCGCTGAAGCTTACCCAAGAGACGGCTGTCCTACAGGAAGTTGTGTCAGACGAGGTTGTGCTATTCAAGCAAGCCTGGGTAGACTTTGAATTCCATCGCGCTGTAGATAAGAGGTTTACTTACTCATGGAAACCCTGATTGCCAGAGGGCGCAAGGAAATCGGCAGGTTTGGTCGATGTCTTAGCCGCAACGGACATCACAACATGGTAGTACCGATCAACGTGGTCTTGCCTTCCTTCGGATCGATCAGGGACCACGAAAGTGAACAATAGGGAAGCTGCAGCTCAAGTGTTTGTTTCCTCCTACCTGCAAATTTATCCTGCCACACGAACAGAGATTCCATGGAAGACCCATTATCTCATGGTCTCGCCCATCTCACTCTGACCCCTTCAACATCTTAGTTTACCACCTGCTGCATTCTACAGTCAGTTGTACCATCAAGAGCTGTTAAAAGTCGGCATGAGGCCCCCAATCACAACTTTATAAGGCGAATAAAAGCATTCAATCAGACCCTGGCAGCTCGTCACGGGAACACTCAAGCCACTATCCCATCTCAGCCCGCGCAACCGGCGCCTCGAGAAGCAGAAAACCAAGGCCATCCATCCCGAACAGTGTCCCTGCAAGCACTATCGGTAATCCAGCCCAGCAAGTTCATGTTGGTAGCACAACTGTCGGTAGAATGACTTCTGCGGCGCTGTTGCCATTGGAAGAAGAGCGGCAGTGTGTCATCTGCGAAGATGAGTTCCTGCTACCCGAGGTAGAGCCCATCCGCTGCGGCCACTTCGTATGTTACGAATGCCTGATTCCCATGTTCGAGTATTCCCTCAGGGCCAATGGCATCTTCCCTACCCGTTGCTGCGGCCCTCCTCTTCGTCTCACCTTACGGGTCTTACAAACGTTGCCAGGCGACATGATCAGACGATACAACGACAAGAAAGAGGAGATGGACGCGGACGAGTTCGAAGAGAAACGCACTTATTGTCATGTCCCACGATGTTCGACCTTTCTCAAGCGGCGGTATTACATTGGAAACGGCGCAGCGTGTCCCCAATGCGCGGCTTTGACCTGCATCATTTGCAAGGAAAAGTACCATGACCATGGGGTGTGCAAACAAAAAGGCGGATTGCGAGTATCGGAGGTTGAGGATCTCGCAGAGGCAGAAGGATGGAAAAGGTGCCGTTCTTGTCGCCAGATGATTGAGCGGTTAGAGGGCTGTGCGGTCATACGTCAGTGGTCAAGTGTCTCCATCACCAGACACGGTGGTATGTGCTGACAACCTCCACAGGATGTTTTTGCGGCGCGATGCTCTGCTACATTTGTGGAGATCGTCCGGATGAGTGCAAGTGCTCGTTCAGGCGCGGCGTATAATCGGAATTGCACGGAGGCATCTGTACTACGCAGGCCTGTGAAATTCACCTACTGCCGAATCTGCGGTATGACGGTCTGCCGCCCGTGCTTCCAAAATATGCCAAGGGATAAGGAACGCCGAACACAATTTCGATGAGTACTTGGCATTGCCATAACAGCCGAGAGCTTGGATCCTTGCTTGTTTGGTTTGGGATGAATACGCAGCGAACACAACATACGATAGCGACTCTAAGGTATTAAAAGCAGAGACAGCATGTGCACATCATAGCGAACAGACCTCGGCAGCCACTCCAGCTTCCAGGGTCGCCGGATCAACAAGACCACCAATAGTCTAAACTACATATCTGAAATGAGGGTTCTGTCGTGCATAGAATGAGCGAGAGTGACTTGAGGCATGGAGAGACATGGCCCTGGGCGGTGACACTTACCTTCAGGTCAGTCAGATCATCCTCGTAGGCGTGCTCGAAGCTCTCCATGAAGCCCGCCCGATCCCTCCTCCGATTGTGCGCCAGGCACACGTAGCGGTAAGCCAGCAGCAGCAGCGCGGCAGCGAGCGTCGACGCGACGACGACGATGAAGCCCACCTTGTACCGCGGCGCGTCCTGCTCCCGGAACACCAGGGGCCCGATGATATTGCCGACGCAGTAGGCGACGTAGATCCCGGCCGACGCGGTCGCACGCTTCGTGTACCCGGCCGTATTGGCCAGCTGCGTGCTGAGCATGAGGATGTACCCCGGTATCCCGCAGCCGATGGTGATGCAGCCGAAGAGGAGGCCGCCCCTGTCGGAGAGCGGGAGGAGCCACAGGAGCAGGGCCGCCAGGGTGGAGAAGAACTGGCAGGTGATGGCGATCCAGCACCGCCACATGGGCCGTTTCGTCGCCAGGTACGATATCCCGAGGATCTGCAGGAAGAGCAGGGCGCCGGCGGGCATGTTGAGCAGCAGCGACTCGAAGGTGCTGTAGCCGAAGCCATTGATGATGATCGGGACGAAGGACGAGGTCGGCCCGTTGACGATGAGGGCAAAGATTGTGAAGAAGAAACAGAGCCAGAACTTGAGGTCCATGAGGGTCTCCCTCACCTGGTCGAGCTTGAGGTGGGTGTTGCGCACACCCGCGTTGTTAGACCGGATGCGGGCGACGGCGATGTAGCGCTCCCTTTCCGTGAGGCCGCGGGCGCTGATCGGGTCGGCGGGGAGGATGAAGGAGATGAGCAGGCCCCACACGGTGGTGACGCCGCCGGCGAACAGGAACATGCTCTTCCAGGGGGCGAGACTCCCCTCTATCTTGCCGAAGCCGTAGTTGATGAGGACGGCGAGGATGACGGCGGGACCGACAAAGGCGGCGAAACAGCCTATCCTGAAAGGTTGTTCCACCTTCTTGTACCAGCTGCCCTGCATCGTGGTTCAGTGACGGATCGCAGGTGGGTGGGGTTCGGCACCGCATGACCTACGCTGATGAGGACGAATATCGGGGAGACTCCACTCTCAAGAAACCCTAGGAAGAAGCGTTGGGCATAGAGGCCCTTGTAATTGAAGCAGACGGCAGTTAATAAGACACAGATGCCCCATATCGTGACCAGAACCGAGACAACGCGCGCTGTGGGAAACTTTTGAGCGAGCATTGTGATGGGCCAGCACCCAATAAGGTAGCCAATGTAGAATATTGAAGACGAGAATGAGTAGCGGTCGCCCACTTCGAGCTTCAAGTCGTCTCTCAAACCAAAGATTGCCTAGCGTCACTCGCCGTGTCAGCCATCCGACCGTGATGGAGGCATTGCATGTTGGCAACAGGACAGTGGACTCGAGTTGAAAGAAAGAGAGAACTCGGATTCTTACTGCTTGTGACAGTATCCCCTTGTCATACCACGTCAAAAAGAAAGTGAAGGCCATCACCGGTAGCAGCCTCCGGTCGATCTTGCGGATCATGTTCTTCTCTTCCAGTAAGCTCCATTCCTCGGGCCCTCCAGCGGATACATAGTCGACCAGGACTTTCGCAGCCTCATCGTGGTGGAAGCTGTCGACTGATTCCGCATTTCTAAGAGTCTTTTCGTTGCTGAGGCGGTCAACACCGTCACTCTTCAGCACGACAACCTCGAGGTCTTTGTTTACTTCTTCAGCCATAATTGCATGGAATAGAATATTTCTTGGCAAACGATAAGAAGGGTTTTGTGAACCGATGGCCTTTCTAAATAAATCATCTGGCAGGTAAGGAGCGGTCGACAACCGGTCTTCAATCTGGGCAGAGTTTTGACCATGCCAGATTTTAACCGAGGTTCATTGCAACATCAATGCATCCGGAGGGACGGGGGCTTTTGAAAGTCCATCTCAACTTTAAGAAGGGGACATCCGGTAGATCCTATGCGGGTGATGTGGCACAGGCATGTTTTTGACATTTCGCTCAGTTGCAGCCACGCAGCCGTTGGAACCTAAACCCTCGTGACGTATGCCGGTATGAGATGACAGTGCGGCCGGTATGGTTTGGACAATGCTGATTTGCCTTTTCGGACTCCAATAATGAACGCGTGCGTGCTGCTCTCGGGCGTGCCCTGCCCTGAGGTAAGTATCTCCCTGCCTTGCTAAACTCAAAAAAAAAAAAAAAAAAAAAAAAAAAAAAAAAAAAAAAAAAAAAACTTGGCTAATCAGCCTCTTTTCGACGGCTGATTGGAAGACTCGCGAATAAATTCAGGAGACACCGACAAGAAGAATAGGGGTGCTTGCTGGGTCACATTTATGTGCGCTTTATTAAAGGCTTACGTGCTGCTTTGTGAAAGTTCTGGCCAGTTTGAGCGGCCGCTGCTTGGGATATCCTTGAATGGTCACGAAATGGCATTGGTGAGCACGCTGGGAAGTACAGTGTCAGGCCGTTATGCACTGCGACCTTCCCAATCTCTTGCATCGGTCTCGACGGAGCGCCGGGACAGGCGGCTCCTGGCTGCAAGTGTAGCTTTTTCGAGTGTTGGCAAATGTGTACTCTGGTGACCGACTGGCCCGGTCGGCGCCATGTCCCTCTTGGAATCGGAAGTGGAAGTGGACAAGGTTTCGGCGGCACGGCTCGACTGCTAGACTGCTAAGCATGCTGCATAAGTTACGTTTTTCTGCAGAGGCGGAAATACGGTACGCACAGGCATTGTTTGAGTTTCAACATTGTCGTTCCGGTGGGGGAGAACCTTCGATGTTTGACGTCTGAATTGGAAAAAAACCAGGAGTTTGCAAGCTGACCTCGGTACGTGGTGGCCATCCTGTCCCTGGACTTCGGAATGGATGGATGTATGCATCCTTGCTATACTTTCGGAGTCTTCCATCAACAGGGTGGGTTGTCTTGTTGGCAGAAGATCAACGTAAACGATGGTCAGTGCAAAAGTATCGCAGGCGGGCCAAGGGTTAGGGGAGTGCGAACGGGGGGAGACATGGTGACGTGGGTGGTGCTCGTGCTGCTTACATAATTCGTGGTGGGGCAATCAGACGTCAAGACTCGTTCAACCTCGATGATTCGTGCCATGTCAGGCCAGTCAGAACGCATGTGTGGCCCCAGAAAACTTCACCTCATCAAGGGCATCCCATCGAACCATCACGACACTGTGCCTCACTCGACGTTTCAAAACAGTGCAGCTTTTTGTCTACACTTTCAATTATTGTATTGGATGGCTCAGATAAAATAAGGCCCAGCTCCCGCCCTGCCAGGTGTTAGCGAGCAATGGCCACGGCACTGAGCGCTGAGGTCCAGCTGATGCGACGCCGCGTTCGTCACATCCATATTCCTGACCTCCCGCCCAGATATGCTCCGCGCGGCCTCGCCCCTAACATACGTGATCACATCGACGCCCAGATCACCCACCAACGCGCCCTTCAAGAGGAGCCACCACGGCCCGAGGCCAAACATGGCTTCGCCAGGGTCGCGTCCAACGTCCCAACCTCGTTTACCTCGTGGGTCAAACGAGCTGGCCCACCGCCCACCGTCCTGTCCTTCACCCGTCGTCCTACTTACATCCTGCCAAAACACCAGGTGGAGAGGCAGGAACCATGGCAGGTCGAATACCTCATGAAGGCCCTCAAGAGCAGGATGAACGTCCACTTCCCGGAGCCCCCCGCGTGGTCCTCGCTGCCTTGGAGGCCCTTCTGGGAACGGGAAATGGCAGAGTCTGGCTGGAAGCACGACCCTCTCAATCATCAATGGACCGATGTTGGCGTGCTCATCATGCCCTGCGCAGAGGCGATGTTCCTCGGGCCCGGGCAGGTGTCTATTTGGCCCATCATTGATCTCAAGGACGACATACAACGGGGTTCCGTCACGATAAAGACAAAATACGAGTTCGAAAGAATACTCGAGGATACCACAATCGAACTTCTGAAGCGAGAATTTGGCATCCAAGCATTCGCCATCCCGGGATCAACTGGTGTCTGGGTCGAGTCAAGGATTCCGCCCCCAGAGTTCGACCAGGAGCGAAGTGAAGGAGACGACATAGTGAGTCGCCCAGAAAGCCTTGATGCCGCAAACCGACGCGCAAACGTGCGACGCATAGCCACCGTCCACACGTCCTTTACCGACGACATCACCCAGTGGGGTGTGTCAATCCACGTCGGTCAACCAGACCCCACATTGGAGTCCTGGACAAACTCCACAAACCCGTGGACACCTATACGGCAGCACAATACCACGACTAGCATAGCAGCAGAGCTTGCCCACATGAAGAGCTCCGCGAGCCCCCTAGGTCCGAGCAAGTATCTGTCCACGTACTACAACCAAAACGCCATGCCCGCTAGTGCCGGACAGGGTGCCATGCCTTACAGTCTCATAAAGACCGGCTCGGGGCGGAGGAGCCCCGCTCCGCTGGGCATGGACAATCGAGACATATCCACCGCATGGACGTACGAGTTCGCCAGACAGCTTGGAATTAAGGATGGCCACGTGGATCACTACAGCATGGTCGAAGCAGACGACAGATATGCGACCGATTTGCCCACAAAGACCTCTGGGGCGGGCTTCAGGTTCAGAGGAGTCTACTCGGAGGATGTGATGAACAGCACATACCGACAGGTAGACGTCCCGCACATCCTGGTCGGTAAACATGAGAAAGTGCATCCGGGAATTGTGGAGGAATCGATGCGCATAGAACATAAAGACGGGAGGATCGACTCTGTCACGCACGACGGATGGCTGTTGTCCTGGCCATTGTGGGGGATGACTCTCACCCGGAAACTTGACGAGGCCATCTGTGGCGGGCCAAGCGATACGCGCAGGAAGGTCTACGAAATGCAGAAGCAAGCCTCCTCGAGGCTGCAGCGCCGCAGGAACGAGCTTAAGCAAGTGAAGGAGGTCGAGGACGCATGGCGCGCGGACATGCCTCACCTCGTCCGGCGACCTCTAAGTGACGAAATCGTAAGAGAGCTGGCCGATCGGTCGCGCGAGATGGAGACGATTCTCAAGACGGTGAGAATGGGCACAAAGTCTGCGAAGCTGCTTGACAGTACCATCCAGATCCGGAGGCTTCTCGAGAAGCGCTTTGCGGGCGCTTTCAGCAGGAACGCAGGCACCACGGAGTCTGCCCGCAGTACCTCTTCAACCAGGAAGGAAATTTCCAAGCGAGCCCCCGGGCCGATGCAACCCGCAGACCCGGCTTCACGCTCGAAGATCAGACCCTCTGAATCTCTACCAAATCAGTCGGAGAAAGGACGAAATAGTCTCGGTGTGTCAGAGGGAGAGAGCAGCACAATGCCGCCTCGCCAAGTGAAATTTGAGGAACCGGCCGACATCACGGGAACGAAGGCCGAACAGCACACTGACAAGCTCCCAGAACGCGGGAGGGAGCCCGTAAAGTTGGGTCTCCATGCGCGGACCTTGGTGAATTTTACCAAAACAAGGGCCGAGAAGGACCAGGACGCCGTCATGAGACGCCTCGACTTGGGCAAGAAGCCCCGTGACGCCGAGAACGACGAGCCGGGGCAAGAGAGGAGACCGACGGATTCCTCGGGGGAGACCAAGAAGCGCCGGGAGGCTGCCGGCGGGAAGGAGCAAGCGAGCTGGACGCCCAAGGACGCCGGCGAGGGAACACGTGCAGGTCCGCGCACAGCCGCGAGGGCCTCGCCGTACTTGCCGAGCACGCACCAGGTGGGAGGGTTTTGAGTGCGTGGCCTCTTGCGGGGTTTCTGTACTATACCGGCGCGTTGTACGAGCGAGCATAGACGGCATAGACACTTGTATAATAGACCACTGTCATCTCTGCATGTGAATCAAAACGCTCTCCAATACACAGGCCCCCAGCGACGGGTCCATGCATGAATGCCTCGCTCGCTTCACTCACTCGTGGCCGTGTGACCTCGATCTGGTAGGAGATTAGGAAGATTAGTGTGAGTGCCGACGTTCCAGGCCAGGCGGGAGGAGGCACCTTGCAGGTTCCCGCCGCTGTCCTCCATGATACAGGGTGGCACGCGATTCGGCGCGGCACGCGCTGGTCCTCCGCCAGCAGCAACACAGGACTTGGTTCCCGGTGAGAAAAGGTGGTGACACTTCGGGATATGGAAGGGTTAATTACTTCATTTGAGGGCAATCGCAACATCAATCATCGCCAGTACCTGAACCCAACGCGGTCTTTCCATCCTGTGTTAAATCATCGATTAATCCCGCCGGTTGCAGCAGGCCTCAGTCACTACACAAGAAAGGAGAAAGCAACGAACGAATCCCCTTTCCAGCTCCTCACACGAATCCAGTGGGTTCCATCCGTCCGCCAGACACCTCGCTAAGCTCCCTTGTCCATGATGGCCTGCCCAGTCCAACCTAGGCCATCCTAAGCTTGGCTTTCCAGCCCCAACAACGTGAGTTGTTTGTCGTACTGCACATCACACGAATACGTGTCGTTCCGGTCCCTCTCTCACAGGCCCACGGACAAATAACTGTAGCGAGCTGGCATAGAAGACAAGTGCCTCCTCCGTCCATACACTCTCCTCACTAGAGCTAGAAGCTGTCTGCCCTTGGGTGTCGCAGGGCTTTATTGTGGGGTGATGGGGTTGTCGTCAAGGCGCTCGACCTCGAGCGAAGCCAGGACGAAAGCGGCGGTGCCGAGGACGCTGTTGGGGGCCATGGGCTGCTGTACGTAGTACTGCCAACCAGAAATGCAATGTCAGTACGGCCCCTGAGAGGTTGGAGAATTGAAATGGAGGGTATCAGGTTGGGAAACTCACGTCGTACGTCGCACTCGAGTTCAGACTGCACACGGCGACGGTGCCGTTGAAGCCCAGGGTCCCGTCCGGCTCCGCGGTGACGAAGTCGCGGGCGAGCAGCAAATGCGCGGCGCGACCGGCCTCCCGCGCGGCGGTGATGTCAGAAGTTTCCAGGTATCTGAGGCGGGCGCCCTTGAGGAGGGCATAGCTGAACATGGCGGTGGCGCTCGACTCGACGTAGTTTCCCTCTCGCCCGGCCATGTCAACGACCTGGTACCAGCCTCCGGAATTCTTGTCGGCGTACCCCATGACGGCCACCGCCAGGCGCTGGTACATACTGAGCAAGGGCTCGCTGCCGGGCACCGCGGGCGTCGCGGCGCCGTAAAGCAGCTCGAGCGTGTCGACGAGCGCCATCATGAACCAGCCGAGGCTGCGGCCCCAGACGACGGCGGACGCGCCGTTGGTGCGGCTCGCCCAGCTGGCCTTGCGGCTCGCGTCGTAGCCGTGCACGAGCAGGCCCGTCGTGCTGTTGTAGCAGTGGTCCCACAGCAGGCGGAACTGCAGGTGCATGTCCTCGATGGCGGCAGTGTCGCGGGTGTCGATCCTGGTGGTGGTGGGGGGCGTGACCGCGTCGTTGACCCTCACCTGCGCGCCGAGGCGGCTGTCGAGGGCGGCGAAGGGCCCCAGGGAGTACATGCCGTCCAGGTAGCTCCACTCGGGGTAGCTCTCCCAGTACCACAGGCCGTTCTCGCTGTTGCGCTGGTTGAGGCGGACGCTGTCGCGCAGGGCGTCGAGCGCGGCGCCGTAGGCCGGGTCGTTGCCGCTGAGCATGGCGTTTCCGTTGGAGAGGCGGTCGAGGGGCCAGTCCTTGACGTCGTCGATGGTGCTGGCCATGTACCTGGCCGCGGAGATGGTGCTGTGGTCGATGTACTCTTGTATCTGGGCGTGCCGGCCGTAGTAGGCATTGTAGGCGGCAAAGGCCTTCTGGACGATGCCCGCCTGGAGGGCCGAGCCTGGCGTTGTGTTGTTGGTCATGATGCCCTGCTGGCGGGCGATGATGCTGAGGGCCATGTCGGTCGAGGTCGCGTTGGGTGCATTATAGGCCTCGCTGCGGTCTAGGTTGTGCCTCTGGCTGGCAACGCCTGAGATGGCGCCGACCACAAAGAAAGAGACTAGGCACAGTAGGGCAATCATGGTCTGTTTTTTTGACTTGGTGAGGTTTTTAACTCTGTCCGGTAGGTTGTTTGCAAGAGAGCGAGTATGTTGGAAAGCAGTGCTGACAACGGCAGTTATTGCTGTGAGGATGCCATGGAATGAGGGTGGTGGGAAGACGTTGGACAGCTTCATGAGCCTAGATGTGGGAAGGCTAGGGCTTTTGGGTTCGGCTGGAAGGGAACACAAAGTCGGTTTTGCCGGAAAGCACTGGCTGCATCGGAAACTCACACAACTCATTACTTCAGTGCTGCAATGTGGACGGGTGTGGTTAACAGGAGGGTTTGTGGTCATCACAGACTTGGTCGTGGGCTGGGTTAGGTGAAGGAATAGCAGGAGTCAAGTTCCACGTGATAGCTGATAGAAAGAGCACCTTGAATCTAATCAAGGTTCTTGTTTGTATCTTTGCGCTACTGAAGTAACCTATCTGACAGGTGGTTTGGAAGCTCTGATGGTGGTGGTTTGAAAGTCCAAGGTACCTGTGCCTTAACCCATGTGTCACAGTACTGCTGTGCGGCCTTAAAAATGTAATGACCACACAGAGGAAACAGCCAGGGGTAAAAACACCTCTTAATGCCGGAACAGGTTGCTAGAAATTTGCAGTATTGCTGCTCTTGGCACATACACACGCGTGATCTCGCCAAATCAATGAGCTCGGGCTGTACGACGAGGCACGAGGTCAGGGCAACTTTACTTGGGCCTTTGCCAAAGACATTTCAAGAAGATTCACCCAATATCTCTTGTTTCAAAGCACTCTAGGACCCAGGAGTCACTTTAAGTTCTACGGGCATGTTGCTAACAAGGAGAAAGGTAGAGGAAATTAGCCAAACTCAGGCAGGCACTGTAGTATTCAAGCTTGCTAGCTAACGGTAACCGGACTTTTCTACACATAAATCACCTTCTCCTGACGTGACCCTGTTTTATTCGTTACTTCCATGAGTTTTATATCCTTAATGAAAGTCTGCCACGTAGGTGGGATGCAAAAGGCTTTCAGTTGACGTTCGTTGTCAGACTGAAAGTCACCGAGGATGAGACGAAAGCTTCTCTGCAAACTCCCAGCTAAAGAGCTGTCAGGGGGGGGGGGTGGCACTAGCTGAAGCTTTTCAGATTTCAGGCTCTAGTTTTGTAATTCAACAGATACAATCTGCTCGAAATGGTTCATGCTGTGCAGTGGAGGTATGTTACGAGGTGATGAAGCGGATCTGCCCAAAAGGGAAGCCTTGATCACCGGAATTGGGTGGCTTCCACTTTCGCCTGCCCAGCCCAACGCGTTCCGTCATCCCAGATGCAAAGAAGCATTGGGATTCATCTGAGCTTCACACCAGACCTTCACAGGATCACTGATATGGGCCATCCTCTGAATTCCTCCCTCAGTCTCTCCAGTCCCTTCTCTTGGTCGAATTCTTTCCCCAACGTCGTCTGTTCTCACCATCCACCCCTAATTTCTCCCTTCCCATCCTTTCAGTCCCAGGTACATTTTGATCTCATCTATGCCCATCTTCTCATGCCAGTCATCCCATAAACGCGTACAAACGCGCAAGGCACCATACCACAAAGGCTTGCAGTCGACTGCTCGCCAACACCGCCATAATGCACAACGAGGTCCATCAGGCCAAGTCTGGCCTGATCGCCGCCATGACGGTCTTTCTCATTGTGGACGCGGTTATCATCACCAGCCGCGTCTACGTTCGAACCTTCATGATCAGGGCGTTTGGCTGGGACGACGCTACCCTCTGCCTTTCATATGTGTGTGCCATCATCCGTCTTCCTTGCTCCTGCACCAGGAGGACCTAGGCATATTCTGACGCGTTTGGGAAGGTGGGATTCGTCATAGCCTGCATCATGGGCTTCATGTCAATCTACTTCGGATACGCTTATGATGGACCGCCGAAAGACTGGCCCAACTTCGACGAGGAAAAGGCGCAGAAGGTCAGTCGAGACACTAATGGATGCGGCGGTCGGTCCAAATGCTGACGCCGGCTGTGGGAAACAGTACCTATATGCCAATCAATTAACGTTGTATCTCACGTCCGGCGTCGCCAAGCTCGCAGTAGCCCTTGTTCTGTTCCGCCTCGCCATCAATAAGCGTTTCCAGGTCATCATCGCGGCATCAATGGCGGTCGTGATCCTTTGGACCTTTGCCACGACGCTCTTCTCCTCCTGGCTCTGCATCACGAACGGCACCACCAGTTATCTCAGCAGCTCGACCTGCACCGCCGTCGGCCTATTCCGCACGATCTCCAACGTTTTCATCGACTACTTCTATGCCCTTCTGCCAATTTTCATCGTCAAAAGAGCCAAGATGAACACATCGATGAAAGTATCAGTCTGTATTCTGCTGGGCCTGGGCTTTTTGTAAGTCCCCTATAAGCCAGCTCCGTCCCACTGACCTTCAGCCGAGCTGACCAAGACATCACCGCAGTGCGAGTGCAGCGACCATTGCCAAGCTGGTCATCATCGTGCGGCTCTCGACCATGGACAAGGACGCACAGGAGATACTCCACTACCAGCTCCTCATATGGGCCGACGTCGAGCTGGGCCTCGCCATCTTCTGCGCCTCGGCCGCCGCCCTGCGTCCCCTGCTCCGCCGGTTCCCCATGATCTGGGGTTCCGCTAAGACCGGGAGCAGCAACACGCCGTACGGGCGGACAGCCGGCGCCAGCGCGTCTTGCGATCCCCTCAGCGCCACCGAGCCGCTGAGTGCAAACGACCGTGAGCCCTCGCATGCCCCGAGTGGGTCGAGCGGGCCTTCCGGGATCCAGGAGTACGAGCTGAGCCAGATGGACTCGGATCGGTCTTTGGAGCAGCAGAAGAGGTACAAATATCAAATGCAGAGCCCGAGGGCTTGAATTGAACGAAACGATTTGAAGGAAAACAGATGACCTGGCAAATTTGAGGCCGGGGGGGCAACACATCATTCTTCTACTCTGGATGTGGAGTATTCGAAGGCAAGGGACGGGTAGATCTCTGAGGATCTGGAATTGGAGACCCACGAAGGACGTGTTTGAACCGCATGTAAAATATGGTGGTGTAATCTACTTTGGCCGAACTTGCTAGACTTCAAAGAGCTGTGTCCCGATCCATCTGGTAGCACTCCGTCTAAACTTTGTGAGGAATGAGAGGATGAAGCCAGGCGGCATGGAACGAAGCTGCTAGGGGAAACCACAATGTTAATTACGAAATGATAACTCTCAAGTTCCATCATCTATTCCATGGAGCTCTATGATACCGGCTCTTGAAGTGAAAGTGGCTTCTGCCGGAACTCTGCGCTCGTTGCGCACAAATGATCTCTCGTCCTGCACGTTGATTACCGCATCCTCAATTTCTGCAATAACTCAAAAACCCATCGCCACCAAGGGAAGACATGCATTATTCAAGGCAGATGAGAGCAGCGGCTTCATCGTTGTCCCGCGCCAGACTGGGGCTACGCGCCGAGCCGTTGCCTTTCCCACCGATGTCGCGCGCTAGAAGGCAGACACTACTGGCACCTTTAGTGAGATGTGCCCCTGGGAAGGAGACCCCCGGGAGGCAAAAGGGAGGGAAGGGAGGCGAGGGGAGAGATGAAATTGGACGAGATGCTACAGGTTGGCAAGGATGGCTTAGACTGAGTGGAAAAGGAAAATAGAATAGATGTCAGGGATATCACGTCTTCCAAGATTCCACACGCTTTGCAAGACATAGAACATTGCCTCTTAGATCTGGAGTCATCGTGTCAATAGACTGTATTCGTGGCCTCGTCGTACGTCCAAAGTGGCCGGGCTCTACCAGCGAGGCGCCCAGAAACGAGTGGAAAGCCCCTACAGAGGGCTAGAACGAGTGTGTAGAAGAAAAAAAGACCGTGATCGACCAGGTGAAAGGGACCGTCATGAGGCACTGCCCCGCTGTAGAACGGCACTTCTCACGCGCTTGGTACGGACACCACGCTGCGCAAATCCAGAGGGGGCATCATTCGTAAAGCTCATCAAACATCATCACTGGTGCCAGCCTCCATGGTGACAGCAGACAGGGGCCACCCACACGCAAGGAAAAGAGAACCCCATCTCCCCGGCTCCTAAGACGAGCCCTTCTGCTTAGGGTTCACAGGACACCCGTCCGCCGTCGAGCCGATGCAGCACGTCACCTCCGCGGCCTGGCACTTGCCCTCCGAGTTGGCGTCGTCGCGCGGCCACGTGAAGGCGGCGCCCTCGCAGGGGGCGAAGAAGCTCGTCGCCTCCAGGTTGTCCGTGTCGACCGGGCGCAGCGGGTTGGTGCACGCGCCCTTGCCGTTGTTGGTGCCCGCGTCGCCCGAGCAGCTGCCCATGCTCCAGAGGTCGAGCGAGCAGCCCGACAGCACGGCCTTGTCGGCGTTGCAGGAGCAGGTTATTGGGACGGAGAAGCCGTTGCTGTGCGTGGGGACGGTCTGCTGTTAGTGATTGCTTGTCCCTTTTGTTTGGGTGTGGGGATGGCCAGTGACACTTACACATATGAAACGTCCATGTCCACGCGGTAGCCAACATCGCCCCATGACATCAATGAACCCTCGAGAAGCGAGACGTCTCCATTCATGGGGTACTTGTCCAGGTTCACGGCGACATTGCCCGCCCACTCCTTTGGAGCGACGAGCGTGGCAGTCTGGCCCGGCTTCAGAGTACCTGTGCCAGTTCCGCCGGAGACGGGGCCAGGCACGCCCGCGTTGCCAACGTACGAGGTGCTCACGGGTTCGGACATCTTGTTCACGACGGTGATGGTCAGCTGGTCCGGCCCTGCGGTGACGCTGGCCTGTCGAGGTTTCTGGGCATGGTAGGCGATGAAGCTGTCCTGGCGCTGCTCCAGCGACGGGGGTGGGGTTTCCTTAGGGCCGTTTGGGAGGGCACTGGTGAGGGCAAGGAAGCCCATGAGGGAAAGGAGTGTGGTGTTCATCTTAGCGAACATGTTGATTTTGTTTCCGGTACAATGAAGGAGTGGAAGTTTGCTCGCTAGGAACAGTAAAAGAGAAGGCCTGCTTTGGATCTCGACTTTTGGAACTGAAGGAGGGACTGGAGATGAGCAGTGATTTAATTTGAAAGAGAGACGGGTGTGAGGCGGTATTCTTTCTTTGTAGTACTCAGCAGACACAATGTGGTTTAAGAAGTCATAAGATCGCACCACCTTTTCGACGTCGGCCGGCCCGCTGGCCCAGGGAGACGGCCGCCATAATATCAACTTGATATCAGCAGGGCACCGCTATCCACTGAGTAAGCCCACGGCCGGCTTTGCTGTCCATCTAGGATTCGCCAAGACCAAACAAACTGAAAGTTCAACAAGTCGTGCCGAGGGGGGACGGCCAGGGCCAGGGGGAAAAGTTGTAGTGTAAGCCACAGGAATAGACCCAGGGCCATAGGCCAAGTGTCCGGGCGGCCATTCGCGATAGACAACAAAGTCTAGAACGCGAGGTGGGTTCAGCAGAAAGAAGCCATACCGTCATCGTCGGTGGGCCGACTTCGACGGCTAGGTGGTTGTTGGATATAGATTGCCCCCTGCCTGATGTCTCACATATGAGCATGTCTCAATATCTCGAGTCTCCAACGAGATGCAGCACGAGAATGTAAGAGAACGAACCCATATGCACGTCAGCTTGAACTGTGCCGAGACACTCCGAGCACGTGCAGCACATCCGCCATGCACGCCTTGCATGCACATGCAGTACGGAGTACCGGTGCAGCCGGCCCATTCCGACGACCCGCCATCCGTCAGCAAGCCACATCTAGAATCTAGAGCCCCCAGAAGGAACCCGCGATGGCTCGAGTAGCCCAGGAACAGGCCTACGAGCCCACCGCTCTCCGCAAATCAAAACTCAATCACACAAAGGAGGGATACACAACCATGAAACTGGGAGGATCAGCTAGGGTCCAGGTCAGCAGCGCCCAGGGCTGTTCTCTTGTCACACATGATCTCGACTTGTTCCGAAGGCGGTAAACATGGTGGGATGAGATTATTGGTATTCGACAATCGACTGGGTAATTGCACAATATGCCCCAACGCCATACAATGCTCCAGCGGGACACAGAAAGAATCGAACAGAAATGCGGACATCGCAGAACTCGGCAGCGCTCAGCCATGAAGTGAGAAATGAGTCATCCACCAAAGATTTCTTCAGCTCGCGCCCAAACTCTCGAGGGCGCGCCTCAGCTCGCGCACGGCTGTCGGCACATCCTCGAAGTTCAGGGCCGAGATGGCCCACTTTGCGTGCTTCTGCGCCTGTGACATGGCCGCATCGTCGGCGGTATACGTGGCTGGGGCCGGCTGGCCGAGCCCGGCTGGCACCGTCGGGGCCGCACCCGAGTTGCCGAAGCTGGTTGGAGCGGGGACGACGGGCCGCGGGACGACGGCCGGCGGTAGTATGTTTCTAGGGGTTGGGTCTGCCGGTGGTGGGGAGAAGGTAGGTGGCGGGGCGACGGCTGCGGTCGAGGATGGACTCGGGGCAAAGGTCGGTGGGCCTGATGGGGCAGATGGTGCGGATGGTGCGGATGGTGCAGATGGCGGTGCGAAGGACGAGGCGGCCGGTGGTGGTGTCGGCGTCCACGTTTGAGGGGCTGAAGGGGCGCCGCCACCGGGCGTGTAGTTGGCTGGGTGGTTCGATGGCGGTGAAATAGGGGACGGCAAGGTCGGCGGAGGGTCGAAGTAGCCGGGCGAGGCGGCAGAACCTCCCTCGTCGCCATAGCCTGGCGCGCTGGGGAGCTTCAATTCCCCGTCGTCGGGCACAGAGGCGGGCGGGTCAGGGAGGACCGGAGTATGCGGCAGAGAGACCCCCGCTGAGTCCCTCTTGAGGTCTGGATCTGGCGCATCCTCCACCGTCGCAGCTCTCGGCACCTGGTCTTGTCCCTGACCCTGGCCGAGTGATTCTTCCTGTTCCCGACCAGATGGGCTGCCGAGCGCTTGGACGTCGGGATCGGTGGGATCGAGGGACGGCTGCTGCGGTGGCAGGTCCTCCTTCTTCGGGTTTGTCTCGTTGGGGTCCTTGCCCTCTTTTATAGCCCTGGTGATGCGCGCAGCATTCCACTTGGCGTACTTGATCTTCTGTTGTGTCTCAGTGTCGGGTGGCCCCCAGATGTTGACGAGGTTGAAGAAGGTCAGGGCAGCGTCAAAGGTGCTAGCTGTCTGCTGGGTGACCTTGCTCGCCTTGATTACACGCTCCGCCCTGTCCAATGTCTCCTGCGCAAACTGCTCGATGTATGCCTGGGCGGTAGCGTCGTCCATGATGGCGTCCTCGTTCGCGTATTCGTTCTTGGTCTGGAAAGAGCTCTGCTGTCAGCGCACGCTTCTTGCCGGTCCATGGGGAGGACGAGGTGATCATCGCCGGCCACACACCTGTTCCAGCTTGTCCATCAGGTTTGTTGTGTAATTGAGAGTCTCTGCATCGGCGCTGTGTAGGTTCCTAGCCAGGATCTGGTTGACCACCCAGTATTCGCCTGCCAGCAGTCAGCTAAGTTGCTCTTGCTGCCAGGGGAGGGTGGCTGTGAAGCTGCGCAAGGGGAAAAACATACACCAATATGCGACTATGGGCTTGACGGTTGACAGCTGAGCAGCCCTGGTGGCCGTCTTGTAGAGGTTGATGTCGGCCTGCTTGAGGGCCTGCGGTATTTCGTCTGCCATGGCTGGGGATGGCTTCTTTTTTTGCGCCTCGATGCGGGTGACACGGTTTGGCTGGTTCGATGGCGACCGATGCACTCGACCGAGTCTATCACTATTAATTACTCCACTTGTGGTGTCTCTCAGAATCGAGCAATGGTGGTGACAAGGAGAATAGGGTGTGCCTGGAAGCTTGTGACTGTGTTTGTGACGGCAGAGTGGGCAGCTTTGCTTTGGACTGGCTTGGCGGATACGTAACGTAATACGGAGAGACGATCGTCCTGGCCCCTCCTGCAACAGGGAGTCTAGCCTAGCATTTCCACTACGTAGAAGTACCCTGGTCACCCGTCTGTGCTCGTCTAACTGATCAAGCTCGTGCCACAGATGAGTTCAGAGGCAGGTGTGGCTGAAGCTGTCCAAGACTCCATCCAGTGTGGCATCTGAATTAATTACCCCGGATTTCTGATGTTGCTACCGTCGCTTCTAGAAGCCTTCGCCGCCGCCTCACCTCACCCGTTTCCCCTCCCTACTGCCCACCCCCTCGTATAAGTCGCCCAGCAATTAGGATTTCCTCCACCGTGGCCTTTTCGAAAATAGGCAAGACACTCAACGTGACACCTTGCACTTTCACTTCACTTAAACGTGGCAGCACCACATCGCCTGTTGCACTTCACACGAGGCAACCGGCTTCTCATTCATATTTTGTGTTGCCTCCCAGCTCCTCTCTCACTCACCAGGACATGCCTCTCCTTCAACTTTGAAGTCTAGTCAACACATTGAGAGGCACCTCGAATTGATCTAATTGATTACACACCGTAAAGTCAGTTCAACTGGCTTGGATCTGCTCTCCTCCATATCCTCTGCCCCGCCCAGTTCGAGCTCCACGGACGAGTCAACGTCTAGCAATCCAACATGCATCACCCCACTCTCTCGACTGCAGCCGTCGCCCTCTTGGCTGCCCTGCCTGCTGCCAATGCAGGCCTCTATCCCAAGAGCTCTGCCGTGCTCTCGGTCGATGCAAAGAACTACGACAACTTGATCGCCAAATCCAACCATACCTCCGTAAAGCTCCCTCCCTCCACTCCGTCCGAGACTCAGACCCAAACCCAGACCTAGACCCAGCTTGTGGTCTACTACGTTGCATGCTCCTAGATCTACCTTAGCTAACTCGTCGTCCCTGCAGATCGTCGAGTTCTACGCCCCCTGGTGTGGTCACTGCAAGAACCTCCAGCCCGCCTACGAGAAGGCCGCCAAGAACCTCGCCGGCCTCGCCAAGGTCGCCGCCGTCGACTGTGACGATGACGCCAACAAGCCATTCTGCGGCACCATGGGCGTCCAGGGCTTCCCGACCCTGAAGATCGTGCGACCCGGCGCCAAGAAGGGCAAGCCCGTCGTCGAGGACTACCAGGGCCCCCGAACCGCGAAGGGCATCGTGGACGCCGTCGTGGACAAGATCAACAACCACGTCCAGCGGGTCTCCGACAAGGAGATTGACACCTTCTTGTCCACCAAGAACGAGTCAGCCAAGGCCATCCTTTTCACGGAGAAGGGCACTACGAGCGCGCTACTGAAGAGCCTCGCCATCGATTTCCTCGACAGCATCACCGTGGGACAGGTCCGCAACACACAAAAGAAGGCAGTCGAATTGTTTGGCATTGAGAAGTACCCAACCCTGGTCCTCCTCCCGGGCGGCGACAAGGACAGCATCGTGTACGACGGCGAGCTCAAGAAGGAGGCTATGGTCAAGTTCCTGTCACAGGCCGCATCTCCCAACCCGGATCCCGCGCCCAAGAAGAGCAAGACGAAGTCCTCCACCCCGAAGAAGCCAGCCAAAGCTGCAGAGACGGAGCCCGAGACGGAGCCCTCCGCCGAGGCAGACGAGAAGATCACCGAGCCGGTGGGCGACGAGAACATCCAGAAGCCAGTCGTGTTCGAGGGCCCCCTCCCGATCCCCATCATCAACTCGGCCGAGAAGCTGGCGTCGAACTGCCTCAGCCCCAAATCGCACACCTGTGTCCTGGCCTTCGTCCCTAAGGAGAACCGCGGCGAGCCGGCTGACAAGGCCCTGGCTGCACTTGCACAGCTCGCCCACAAGCACGCCCAGAGCAAGCGCCACCTGTTCCCCATGTACGAGGTGCACACCGACGATGCACACTCCAAGGACGTCCTCAAGGCCCTCGAGCTGTCGGGAGACGTCCAGGTCCTGGCCGTCAACGCCCGCCGGGGCTGGTGGAGGCTGTACGAGGGCAAGGACTTTGGCCACGAGAGCATCGAGAGCTGGGTCGACCAGATCCGGATGAGCGAGGGTGTCAAGCGGAAGCTGCCCGAGGGTGTCGTCGCTGCTGCTGCCGAGGAGACGGAGGCTTCTTCCGAGGCCACGCCGGAGCCTTCACCGGAGCCCACGCCCGAGGCCACCGACGGCGAGGCTACTGAGAGCAGCGCTACCACTGAGCCCGAGGTCACGCCCGAGGCGGAGAAGATCTCGGAGAGCAACACGGAAGAGGAGACGTCGTGGAAGGGTGCGGACCCTACTATTCAGGAGGAGACTGCGGAGGAGAAGCCGACCGAGTCCGTTCATGACGAGCTTTGAGAGGGCACTTGTCACTAAGGTGTGAAATGTAATGTTAGCCGGCGTCTTGGTTTGGGATCGATCCTCTTTTTTTATATTAAACCCCAATTGGCGAAATGCCTTGTGGCCTGAAGGGATGAATGAGACGATATTTCGAATTGACACGGAATTGGAAGTTTCTCTTACCTCACATCCCGTCAGTGCTTTCTGGGGGGTATCATGACCTAGCATCGCAAACAACTGTCCCTCGTAACACTAAAACAACCCTCAGAGCCTCCTTGAGCCTTGTCCATTGCTATCCAGCACAATCACCCATCAATCTCCATCTCCTCCACCCCAACGCCCTTCTCCACCGCCCCCTCGCGGATCATCCTCGCGCCCCGCTCCCGCACGCACGCGTCCAGGATCTGCCGCACCTGCTTGCACCCGTCCACACCAACAGCCAGCATGCCCTCGAGCCGCGAGACCTGCACGCGGCTCTCGCACACCAGCACGGCGACGCGGTCCCCCGTCCCGCCCAGCGTCGCGACCGTGAGGCTCGGCAGCTCCTGCTCCTCCTGGTGGTTGAGGTCCAGCAGCGGGTCTGCGCCCTCGTCGCCCGCCGCGTGCGTCGAGGTGCTCCCCGCCGTGCAGGCGGCGACGTAGTCGGTCATGGGGATCCCCGCGTCGACGGCGGCGAGGGTGCAGGCGTTTATCAGGGCCGCGAGGAGGGAGCCGTCCTGCGAGAGGACGTGCAGGGAGAAGGTTATCGTGCTGTGGGGGTAGAGGTGCGTGTGCAGGGTCGAGGAGAGGGCGTGCGAGAGGGTCGATTGCATCTCTGAGATTCGTCTGCGTGCGGGGCGTCGCGCCATGTCAGTCTGGTTCTCCTCGTGCTCGTCGTGACAGGGTGCCCTGCCCTGTCATGGGTGATGGTGACGATGATGATGATAGTACGTACTTGTCGCCTCGTCCCCTGCGTTTCCGGTCCACGCTGCTGAAGCCCGCGATCACTATGCTCACGGCCACCTCGGCCTCCTTGTCCTGCTCGGACCGCTGTCCACCACCCCCTCCACCACCGCCTGCGCGCCGTGCGGACTGCTGGTCAGTCGGCCCCGTGACGACGCACATGACCTTCGTGTTGCCCATCTCGAGGTAGCTGGACCCGTCGGCGGCGGCCTGCGTGCGGATCTGGGCGTGGCACCGGCGCAGCTCGTTCCATCGCCGGCCGTCGACGCGCAGCAGGGCGAGAGAGTAGGAGGATGTGTCGAGGGGCATTGCGCTGGCGTTGGTTGTGAGTGGTATTGGTATGGGCTGATGTGAGCTACCCTGTGGAATTTCGGACGGATCGATGAGGTCTTTTGGTGCGTAAGAGGTGGCTTGTATCGGAGGAACGCGAGGTTGTGGAGAGATGCTGGCATGCAAATGGTAGTGTCGCGGGCACTGAGAACAATTGAAGCTCTGGAAGCTTAGGGAAATTTTGGTGGGGCTGTTTTCGTTGCAGGGGCCCCCGCCTGGGCAGGGTCAGGGATCTGCTCTCTTATATCATCGACATGACGTGGGGAAACATCGACGATGTGATGATGGTGTTTGACCTTCTCCTCAACATCATCTTGTGATACCCTCTATTCTCTCATGCTTTCCAAGATATTTTCTCTGCGAAACTTCGATCAAGCCAGAAAATTCACACTGTCCAAAATGCCCAACCCAGTCGACACCAGCTTAGAACCTCACACCTCAGGGCTCGCCGCCAAATTCGCCGCCGCCCACTCAGCAGAGCACCCCCTCAAGCTGTACGGTGGCTGGTTCTGCCCGTTTGTGCAGCGGTCCTGGATCGTGCTCCACGAGAAGAAGATCCCCCACCAATACATAGAAATCAACCCCTATCACAAGGCGCCAGAGTTCCTGGCCCTCAACCCGCGCGGCCTGGTCCCCACCCTCGGCGTGCCAGTCGGCAGGAGCGGCAAGGAGCAGAAGCCACTGTACGAGAGCCTGGTACTCTGCGAGTACCTGGACGAGGCCTACGCGGAAGAGAGCAGGTTCGGCCACAGGCTGCTCCCCGAGGATGCATACGAGAGGGCGAGGTGCCGGCTCTGGATCGACCACATCAGCACCAAAATCATCCCTGGGTTCTACAAGTTGCTCCAGCACACGCCGGACAAGGCTTACAGTATCGAAGATGCGAGGAGTGAGTTCCTGGGCAACATCAAGACCCTGGTGCAGCAGATGGATGGTGGTGGACCGTGGTTTCTCGGGGAGCGTTTTAGCCTTGTCGACGTGATGCTTGCCCCATGGGCCAAGAGGTTGTTCTTGGTTGATCACTACAAGCCTGGCGGCGTGGGAATTGATGAGGCAAAAGCCAAGGATGAAGGAATCTGGAACAGGTGGCAGAAGTGGTTCGATGCCATTACCTCTAGGCAGAGTGTTAAGGAGACGTGGAGTGATGATGAGCAGTACATCGAAGCCTATAAGCGATATGCGGAGGACACAACTGGATCGATGGTCGGACAGGCCACGCGCAAGGGGGAAAGGTTACCTTGAGGGTGTGAACACTACTTTCGAGCTGCATGGTCAACCTAACTTACCATTGATGTATGACACTATAGCAACAGTTTCATCACCCTTGATATGATGACACACCATCCGCATTCGTCATGAACACTTAAGCGCCCAAAAGATATTTGATTGGAGTTACTTTCATCTGCATTGGACATAAATTGCCATGCCCACATAAATGAATATCCGGGAATTGCGCGCAACGGGTCGTGAAAGGTAAGCGGTCTGGATTTGGTTCCCGGTCGGGTTGAGTTGGAGATCGATCACCTAGTTCTTAAGCGTTTTATACGGCAGAAAGCGCATTGGCGGCGATTCTGATCCGGACAGTGTCTCATCAAGAACTCAGAATCCTACTCGCAGTACTGCTAAAACATTCTCAGCACACATGTGCATAACTTAAGCTTTGGAGAAATATAGCACATGCTCTTCCTTCCCGTACATATTCGGGCAGTGCTCAAGTAGCTACGTGCATTGAAACGCTTGCAGCACCTGATCCATTCCGAAATTATATGATCATGATGCAGTTCCGTCTACGGCCATACATTCTAGAAGCCTGTGTATGGAATGGACACGTATGGTAGTGCACGTGAATTTTACAGACGGTACTGTTATAGTCAAATGCATAACAGTCGACGAAGCTTTCAACAATGCCATCACCCGGGCCTGGAAGGCGCCAACAGAACGTGGGAAATTATGCACCAACCACGCAGAGCCAAGCACATATCCGAGTACCCTGCTACGTGGTAAGAGCTGGTGAGTCAATACTTCCTGGGATTGTCCGTTCGGCCCGGGCACTGATGATCCATGGACAGCATTGTCACTCCCTCGGCCTCAGGTACGTTCTGGGGCCCAATCTTGATGTGTCTTTTTAATTGCAGGCTCATAACTATCACACACTCTTCGCGTGTGCCAGTCTGTTTCGGGAACAATTAGGTTTCGAATTTCTTGAATCTGTCAGTAAGGAGCTGACCCACCAGTGGCTCACTGTCACATTTATTCCTGCCGTTGACACTCACTCTCTAAAGTAGTATACTGTCACACCCACATACGAGTCCTTGGAAGAGGTCGATGTATGTCGTGTGAATCACAAATAGGCTCCAGATTTGGACTTCGTCTCAGGGGCCCGGCGCTTAATCGGGGTACAGTGAATCATAAATCCATCCTGTATAAAATCCCGAGACACTTCCGTCCTTTCGACTCCCGTCTGTCCACCCTCTCACCAGACACATGATCGCAAAGAACGAGTTCTCCACAAGAAATCAAACGTTTCAAAGATCCAGTTCCAAACAACATCCAAAAAACACTCTGATCATCGTACCTGTCATCAAGATGCGCGCTACCACCAAGACTGCTCACGTCGTCTGCAGGGAGACCTGTAAGGCATGTGGCAAGCCTTACAAAGACTGCACATGCGCTTGGGGAAATTAGGTAAGCTCAGAGGCGCAGGTGGTTGATTTGATTCAAGTACGCTCGGCGTCCCAGAAGAAGAGACAACCTGGTCAGCTTGACCGGTGGATCTGAATGAGGTCTTCCTCAGAAACTCCGTAGACCACAAATCAATGAAATTTTAGCTTCAAATTAATATTGCTATGTACTATGTGAAGGATATCGGCGTCAAATATCAGTCCTGAAGTCTGACTTTAAGATGTGCGACCAAGGTCGTAAATAGACTTACATATGCCGGTACCCACTTCCGGAATCACCTTTATGCTCAAAACAATTGCTCACGGACAAGATACATCCCAACTCCCAAACAGCCCAGAAATATTTCAAATCCCCTATCTGCTTCCGGATTCTCAAGAGCATCGTCTGACTTTAATAACAGTATAGTGACAGGAAAAGCTATGCTATAAAGCAACCCCTCCCCTGCTCAGCCCAGTCAACCAACAGTCCCTGTCCCTGCCTCGGTGTCCCCGCTACGCCCTCAACTCGCAACCCCCACAACGGCGCCCACGATCCACCCATGATACCCACAACCAGCAAATTTCTTATTCAACACCACTCTCAGGGCTGAGACCATCACGGGGCGTCTAGCTCAAATGGTAGAGCGCGCGCTTAGCACCTCCAATCTTCTTGGAACTGCGCGAGGTACACGGTTCGATCCCGTGGTCGTCCATCAAGCCTAGATATCACCGCTCCCGAGCGAGCAATGTGGCTCGTTAGGGTTGGGATCACTTTTGCTCATCGTGATACTGTCCTGGGAAGCTCAGATGAAGCTAGATCTCCGCCCATTTAACGGATAAGGCATCATTTTTTTGCCTTTCCGCTACCGCATATAAGGTGCTTTTGAGCTTATGCTTAGGAGCCTGTTGTATTTCAAATTATCGTGCTTGTCCTCGGAACACCCACTTGCACCAAGTCGGTTTGCCTTTGAGGTATGCAATTCGTCCTAAGAACATGCAGATTCAAGCACTCGATCTCAAACCTAGATTTCTAGCTCTAGGGGACCCCTTGAGCACGGCGGCCAGCGTGGCCGGGTTCATCATGCTATTAATACCCTGCAGCCCAGGGCCGGGCATGCATAAACCGGGGAAACGTTCTCCTGTTTTGCAGGCTTGGTGCGGCTGGGCATTCTACTTGGAGTGCGGGAAGCTTCTTGGTCCTGCATATCTTTGTGCATCTAATCAAGATCATCGCTGACGACTTGCCGGCTGCGAGTGGTCTTGGTTGTTGCCAGGGGGACCTACTGACGCCTTCGACGTGCTGCCCCAATCTGGTAACCTGGGGATCGATCTCAAACATCAGTGGCTGGTGTCAGATAAGGATGCACGTACGGGAGATCCTCCTATAGGGCTTGACAAGTCGACCTATACGACAGTTCTATAGGGGCTAGCCGTGGTAGTACTCTCTCCTGTCAGCCTGTCAGTGTTCGAGATCTCCTGCCGCGGGAGGTAATCCTATAGGGAGAGTTCTGGCAGCCACATCACGCGCTAACGTTTGAGCTGCCTGCAGGCCACGGCCTGCATTCGTATATGTTACAGGTAGATCTCCCCGTAGCGTCGCCGCCAGGGCCGTTGCGCGGTCAAGGATTGGGCGCCCGCCCCCTTAACCCCCGGGGCCCCGGGATGGTTACCCTGCCACCCGCATAAATTTCCCGAGAAACGTGGGGATCCGTGTTGCCGGCTGGTGGGTGTCAGATAGAGTTGCAAACTCGCAACCGCCGCCCACGCATCATCACGCAAGCAGCAAGCAACCCTATGCTATCTGCTGCACCCTCTCTTACCCCCACCGGTACGAGAGGGCGGCGACGGGTCTTATAAGGGCCGCTATGATAATTAAGCTCACTGGTCGTGTCACCGTCGCATCTCCGTGGGAAAAGAGGTGGTTGGATGCCGGTGCGCGTCGCGCAAGTCGTTTATAGTTTGGGACACCGAGCATATGCACCGGCGGCACCGGCCAAGCACTGGCTGTACGTCAGGTCTTGCGGCAGTCGTGTCTGAGCGCTTTTCGCAGACGGCCTTGCATTGACGCAACACTGCTTGCGTGCTGATAAGCGAGCAGCAGCAGCGGCCAACACGGCAATTAAGCTTCAAACCCTGCGAGTAGTGTGCAGGTGCGATCAGCAAACGCGCCGTACATCCCCTTCCTGCATGACTGGACACCTGTCCCTTCTTATCTGGGCTACGGCCCCAGCCGCCGGGCGGGCGCAAGAGAGGGCTTCCGTCTCGGATTGTTCTCTTGCCTTCCCCCAGGCTGCATTGCGGAAGTGCGATGGGATCCTACACTCGACGTTGCATGGGTCGGCTAAGACGGCTTGACGGTTCCCAACTCCAACCCCCTGACAGTCCAACGCTCGTTCTCGACGTTGTTGTTAAACAATAGGTGCTGCTTCCCCACAAGTCATCGGAGAGTCAGTCTGACTCTCTTCCCTGGCTCTTGCACAACCCTCGTTTAATCACAGTCGATGTCGTTATAATCTTCATTCTTTCTTGTTTCCCAGACGCCCAGTCCCGCCTACAAAGGGGGCTTCCTCCGTCATGAGTACCGGGAATGCGACACTGGATACAGTGGGCGCCGCTTCCGGGGCAGCGACCGTCGAGCTGGCGGTCGAATGGATCGCATATCTCGTCATAATAATAGTTATCACGGCCTTGCGCACCTACGCGCGGGCGAGCATCTCCGGCAGGAGCGGACTTGGCTGGGATGACTACCTTGTCTGGATCGCAGTGGTTAGTCCTGCTCTATTCTACTCTGCGCTGATTGGATACCTTCATGTGGCTTTCGATGTTGCTGGCTGACAGCTTTGCAGGTCTGGTACGTTATCCTCAACGCTGAGGTCTATGTGATTGGCGTCACGGCTGTTGGCATCGCAAACGACTCCATGACAAACGAGTACCGCGCTAGGCTTGCAAAGGATGGCCCTGGGAGCCAGGAGTTTGGGCTTCGAGTCCTGGGATCCAAGGTGCAGCTAGCTGCATGGATATCGTACTCGCTGGTCTTGTGGCTATTGAAAGGATCTCTCCTCTGTTTCTTCGTGGTCCGGCTCACTGTAAGCTGCCCCGAAATCATTCACTTGTCTTGTTTGTTTGCAACAAATTTCACACACAGTTGGAAAACTCACTCGTTGTAGGAGGGCATCACCGGAGCAAAGAGGAGAGCATGGGCTGGCACAATTCTTCTCATTCTTACCTGGGTCTCCATTCTGGTAACAGTTCTTGCAAGTTGTCGACCACTCAACAAGATGTGGCAAATCTTTCCCGATCCTGGGCCAATTTGCTATGCTGGCGTCTCACCGATTTTGATTGGAGTCACACTCGCTGGCAACATTCTGACGGACATCTACCTGATTTCGATACCGGTCCCCGCGCTACTGCGAGCCTCGCTTGGGAGAGTACAGAAGATCTCCCTCGTCAGCCTCTTCAGCTGCAGCAGTCTCATCACAGCTATGGCGATCGTGAGAGTTGTTGTTATTTTCGTGGTAAGAGGTCTCCGGAAGCTCTCCCGGAGTGTTTTGTCGCTGACACACCCCAGAACTCGAACAGCAACGGCGACGGCGCGTGGGCACTAAGGGAGTGTTTCGTGGGCATGGTGACCACCAATTTGGCACCTATAATTCCGCTTTTCAGAAAGTGGCTCTCGCCATGGCTGGGACGACTTGAGTCCAGCTCCGACGGCAATACGAACCAAGGCACCGGAGGAGCGAGCAGCCGCACGATGAAATCCAAGAGCCGAGACCCAAGGAGTCCAGGGCTCAAACTGAAGACGGCTGGGCGCCACCACAGCTCCGACAGCTCGGAGCATATCATTGAGGTCAACGATGTCGAGATGCAGTCTTACAACAACAGTCCGAACCAGCGCGATGCACCATCCGATCCGACCGTGGGTGGGGAACAGACAGGAAAGTCGTCGAGTGGGAATGGAAATAAAAGCCCAACACTAATCATCCAGAGGAACGGCGAGATGCAGGCTTCGGCAGAGGGTGCGGACGAGGCGACATTTTACAGGAATGGACGTATCCGGGATCGAGACTTGTCGATACAGTAAAGGGATTTCACGAATTAATGAAATATACAATTTATGCTTTGAGCGTAAGCACCAAGCGTTGCCATGAGTTTGTTCAGTCCACCTTAGGCTCCAAGTCATGGTCCATCGACCGAAAGCGGACTGGGCTCAAATTCACGCTCAGACGCTACAGCGCGCACAGCTGCAGAAACGACGTCGCGCGGTGAGTCAACGCAATGCAGGGAATGCGATCAGGTTGACACGCTCGAGCCGGTACTAAGTGCGGGAAAACCGAAACGCATAAGCAACAGGTTTAAATCCGTCCCGCATTGCGCGTACTTGCGCGTATTTTCGAAAAGTTTAATCCGACCCCGAGTTTTGGCAGCGCCTCCGTGCGCGCTGCCCTCCACCTTTCCGGGACAAAGTCTTAACGGCGAGATCTCCGAGGCCCGAGGTGACGGCCGGCCCCCTTTTTTTTCTCAAGCCTTTTTAAGCATCCGGGACCCATGTACTCGGGGTGCGGATGGAATGGCTTGTCCATGTTTTCGTCATCTTATCAATCTGATCAGTTGTCGCTAGTGTCACCGTAAACCGGCGCTGCATTTCGTTATGAGACAGGTCGCTTGACTATATAAGACATCGCTTTTGTTCCTTGCCCTTGGCATCTTTGCATCGTATCTCCTAGGCTTCTTTATAGATATCAGATCTCCGAACATGGCTTCCGGACTTAGAAATGTCGTCGTTGTTGGTGGATCATATGTTGGAATTGTAAGCAGGCGATCCTGGCAGACCCGCCAGGCGTGCTGTTGGGCACGATGAGAGACCCTTGATCACTAACAAGAACATCGAGATAGAACGCGGCCAAGGAACTCGCCAACGTGCTGCCTGCAACGCACCGCGTAAGTGCAATTCGGCCCCTCACGGTGATCACGAGTTCCAATTTACTAAACAGGCATGCTATAGGTACTCCTCATCGACCCTCACAGCCACTTCAATCACCTCTTCGCTTTTGTAAGTTGACTCTCTGTTCCCGTCGCGCGTTACCGTTCCGCAACCGGAGCGGTCCCGACGCGAGCTCGAGGCGAGCTCTCCCTACTTACGAAGCAACCGACAACGCGAGCTCTTCGAGATGGCATAGACGCAGTCGCTCGAGCCCTTTCTACTGTTCCGCCACAACAAAATTATTCTGTGTTGTCCCACTGTGCAATGATGCTAACGATACAAGCCACGATTCGCCATCCTACCAGACTATGAGCACAAGGCCTTCATCCCATACTCGGGCCTCTTCAATGCAGCACCAAATAAAGACCTGCACGAAATCGTGCAAGCAAAAGTTGTGTCACTCAAGCCCAAGGAGTTAACTCTAGACCGAGAATGGAAGGGCTCAAAGCAGCTCCCATTCGAGTATCTCGTCGCCGCAACAGGCACGCGCCTCGCTCCGCCTGGCTCAATGCCTGAGGATGAGAAGGTACCGGGAGTTGAGTACCTCAAGAAGTACAACCAAGGCATCAAGAACTCCAAGTCGGTCATCCTCGTTGGAGGCGGCGCCGTCGGCGTGCAGATGGCCTGCGACCTCAAGGAGATCTACCCAGAAAAGGAGGTGACGCTGGTTCACTCGCGGGAGCACATCATGCCAGTATACCAGGAGAAGCTGAGCGACATGATCAAGGAGAGGTTCGCAGAGCTAGGCGTCAAGTTCGTCGGCGGCTCGCGGGTCAACATCCCGGCCGGAGGATACCCCCTCGGCGGGACAGGCGAGCCCATCACCGTGAGCCTCCAGGACGGGCGGACCCTCGCGGCGGACTTTGTCGTCCAGGCGACCGGGCAGATCCCCAACACGCAGTTCCTCAAGGACCTGGCGCCGTCCTCGAACGACTCCCTCACCAACCCCAAGAACGGGTTCATACGCGTCAAGCCGACGCTGCAGTTCCAGGACCAGGCGTACCCTTACCTTTATGCCCTCGGGGACGTCGCTGATTCCGGGGCGCACAAGGCCGCCCGTCCGGGTTCTGCGCAGGCGGTCGCCGTGGCGAAGAATATCCAGGCCATGGTCGAGGGCAGGCAGCCCAGCGAGGAGATCGTGGTTGGTCCGGCTGGGATTCACTTGACTCTGGGATTGGTAGGTCTCAACGGGGGGAAAAGCCGTGATAAATATTTCGCAGCGACTGACAGATTGTGGCACAGACAAAGAACACCATTTTCAGAAACCCAGATCCCAAGGCCGGAGATCCCGAGCCCTTCATCAACCTGAAGGATGACGGCAGTGCCGACATGAATATTGATGCTGTCTGGGAGAGGCGTGGCGTCAAAGTGACGGACCCGAGAGACTATCATTTGTGAAAGGCATGCTTGCTTCAGCGACCATGATACGCGTATGCTCCGAAGGGCCATCATATAGATAGGTAGATTCATCATCTGTGAGCCACGCTCTGCTTCCGAAGGAAAGACCTTGGTTAGTAAGGCAGTGGGCATTCGATTAAAGTGCTACTCAAGCTTGAAAAGTCTTAGACGGTGTCACATTGAATTCATGCCGTTCGTCCGTGACTAGTCCCCTCATGTCTGCACTTCTAACCACCCTTGACCATATCTCCTAGGATGGAAAAATCACCAATGTCGGCTTACGCTGCCTTTTCCGCTCAATGATCCCGCATATCAATCTTTTCATCACGTGCTAAGGGATTAACCTTGAGTCTTTGTAAGCTCGGGTGCTCGGTGCAATGCTGTGCCGTAAATGGCCGTCATCAAGACTTGTAGGCTTTCAACTCTACGTCGCAGATCTTTGCGATGGGAACCGGTTCTAAAGAGATAATACCTAGGGCCTCAACCATGCAAGCTTTTGATTGTATGTCTATAGTCAAGATTACGGAGCTGAAGCTAAGAAGGGATAATATATATAATTGAACCAACAGGGCCGAACGAATCGGGCCCATGCCTCGCTCTTTAAAGTTGATCTTGCCCTGGCCACAATACACGAACCCAGCAGATGACCTGATCAGAAGAGTTGCAGGGCTCCGGCTATTGTCATGTCGGTCTCTACAGCGCAAAGACATGCAGTGAAGCGTTCTACATCTAAAGTGGTTGTTGAAGTCCTTACTCGTTCTCCTGCACATCGATGACGGTCGACTTGAACTTCCTGGCCGGGACCTTGCGGCTGAACAGGATGTCGATCTCACGGTAGGAGCGGCCCTTGAGCTCGGGCAGGAAGAAGAAGGCCATGACCCAGCACACGCAGGCGGTGCCGCCCCAGACGAAGCCGCACTTGCCCGCGACGTTCCAGCCCGTCGGGTTGAGCAGCTGCGAGGCGAGGTAGATCATGGGGATCTCGGTGACGTAGTAGGCGGCGCGGCCGACGCCCGTGCTCAGGGCGCGGAGCCGCACCGCCGACGTCTCGGCGATGATGGAGTAGGTGATGGGCCCCAGGGACCCCGCGTAGACGAACGAGATGAAGATGCCGAAGCAGGCCTGGGCGTAGTTGGTCGCCGTGTTCTGGGCTATCGAGGCGCAGATGCCGAGGACCATGAGGAAGGTTATGTTGATGCCCGTGCCCCAGAGGTAGATGGTGCGGCGGCCGAACCAGGCGGTGACGAACCAGGAGCCGATGTTGGCGACGAATTGGAGGCATGAGTTGATCAGGCCCAGCTGGAAGGAGAAGTTGGTCGACATGCCGGCCTCTGAGCTGAGAGTTAGTCATCTGAGATCAAGAGATGTCAAGGCTGAGCAGGGCGGTGGGAGGGCCACGACATACGCTCGAAAAAGAAAGTGGCCTGGTTGGCAATCAGGTTGCCGGCAAAGTTCTGTGACGTGTAGATCAAGCAGGTAATGATTGTTCGCCTCAGGTCGGTACCCTTGACAAGGTCGAGCAGGGTAGGGTCACCGCCCTTCTTGGCCTCGATTTCCACAGTTCGCTCGACCATAGCAAGCTCGTTCTGAGCATTTATCTTGGACTTGCGGCCGAGACGCTCGATGGAGCGCAGGGCCTCCTTCTTGCGTCCGTGGCGGACGAGCCAATATGGAGATTCGGGGGCGAAGAAAATGATGACCAAAAGGGGAGTCTGTGTATGTCAGCTACTGAAAATTCCGGGAGACACTTCGTGCCTGACTGCGAGAAGGGTGTTGGACTTACTGGGAAGATCCACTGCAAGGCAAGAGGGATTCGCCAGGACCACTCGTCGTTCCGCTGGTTGAGTGCATACGTCGCACCGCCGACAATGATACTACCAATGGACCAACTCATCTGAAGAGTAGCCGTGCATGCACCACGAAGAGACAATGGCACGATCTCGCTGGCGTAGGCAGGGGAGTTGGCGATGAAGAACCCCCAAGGGACGCCTTCGAAGGCTTGTCCAATCACGAGAACCTCGAGTGAGTTGGCCTAGATGGATCAGGTCAGGCGCCAATTCAACGGCCAGCAACTGCACCAACCGGGGGAAACTCACGAAGAAGGAGATGAAGATTGTGGCGTTCATAAGCACCAGCGCCAAGAGTGTAGTCCACCGGTAGCCAATCCGGTTGGTGATGGGACCGGCCAGCAAAACCCCCACAAACGCACCACATTGGCCGGCCTGGAAAAGGGAACTCTGCCACTTGGTCTCGATGGCCTTGTCAAGAGAACCTGCAACCACGACACCATATTTTTCCTTGAAAGCGGGAAGGGCGACGAAGTTGCCGTTGAGGAACATGTCGAACGACTCCATAACCTGTCAAGAAAAGGCAGCGCGTCAGCCAAAATTCCTGCCGCAAGTACAAGCTCTTCTGGGCATCGGACGAGCCTCTTGGCAGAGGACCGGCGGCACTTACAATGGTGAAGCACATGATAAAAGCCCAGAAACAAGCCCACGGGTACGTCTTGACAGCCTCCCACACGCCCATCTCGTGCTCGCGGTTCTCGCCGTCGAAGGCCTCGTGCATCAGGTCCGGGTTGACCAGGACATCCTCGTGATGGACGTCCTTCTCCTTGAGGTCATCCTGGTGGTCGACATGTTCGCTCTGGCTCGACGAGTCCTTGGTCGGCTCGATGTTGCCTTGAGTCGTCATGTTTACGATGTGCGTACTGTTTGTCGACGCCAACGTGGTATATGGGGGGGAAAAAAAGGAGAAGCAAGGCCAAGAAGACTGGGAGACGGCCAGGACTCGGCGGAAAATGGGTGAGCGAACCCTCACATTAACTAGAACTTGGCGACTCGAGCAGAGTGCCCCACGATTACACAGAATGCCCCACGATTACAATGTAGAAGCGCCACCCATTCCCTTCAATGGCCTTGTTTCGCCCGCAGGAGCCGAGATCCATGTAAGCCGGGCATCGCATTTGCAACGGTGTCTTGCAATTTGTGCGGTTAGCACGAGGTGCCTTTGATCGACGCATCCCCCCCGGCCGGCCCCAGCTTTGCCAGGCAGGGTGCCCCCACAGAGCTTGGGGTAAAATACGGAGAACCGGGGGGCCTGTCCCTACTGGCCCATCTCCCCCCATAAAGCCCAATTTTACAGAGTGGTATCCTGGCCCGTCGAAGCTCGGACAGTGCCGCCTGGGCCGCAGGCGAGCCGAGAAGCCACATTTTTCCATTGCATCTGGCGCACACACTGCACGTTTACGCGACGAAACAGCTGCCTCATTCGCAAGTCGACACCATTGTCAAATCAAGTTGTCTCGTAGATAGTTCAACACCTACCGCGCTGCTCTGGTGAATAGCAGCCGACACGACTCTTCACCGACAGCAAACGACTAAAGGACTCGTGACTTGGACACCGGGGTCAGGGGAGGGAACTTTCAGAGGGGGCGACTGACAGGTACGAACCCCTCGCCGCTGTGGAGGCCAGTACTACCATCCCCAGGCCTATCACAGGCAAGTGTGGAGACCCGTCGCTCTGGATCTCAGTAACAGAGCGAATCAGCAAGGCCTATTTCGAGTTTGACAATGAGCACGCACCGTCAGCTGGCTGCAAGGCGACGCGATCCTGCGCGGAATACCACTCACCCTCCTTCCTCTTCGGGTGCAGCCTCAAAGGACAGGGGTTCTAAAAACACCAAACAAACCGGGCCGACTCCATAGTTTCGGAGATGCTCGTGCGACCCTATGCTATACAGTACGCAGCGATATTCATTCGTATGTACGGTACGTCAAAATCAGGATGCCGCTTCTTTCTTCAAGCCGAGACGCCGGAGGATGTCTCTCAAGTAAGCTACGAAGCGATGTTGAGGCGAATCTGACAACTGACAAACCTGCGTGCTTGCATATGTGGGCCACATGCTTGATTGGCTTATACGGTGGGACGAGGAGCGTCCAGAACGCTGACCGACCTCGACCCGGCCCACAATAAAGATATTCATCGCGCTTGGCAGCTGCAGGCTTGACAAACTCCCTCGGATGTGCCACTCGACTCTGCGATAAGCACTCGGGGTGCGGTATCACGTAAATTTCAATACGAGACTGTGCTAAGCGCGCAGCCTTGGCACAGCGACGAGCCGCACGTCCGCATCCGGCCCCCATTACAACCCAGAAATCCGGCTCAACCGGATGACAGTAACTACGTCTTATTCCTGTACTTCCTCTTGGTGGGTATATGACATCTTGGTGATAGACCACACTAGGGTGGAAAAAAACACAAAATGTATGCACCCAGGAACACCTGGATTGCTTGATCTACTACGACAGGGAGTCGAACCCTGAGCTCAACCTTGGAAGGGTTGAATGTTACCGCTACACCATCGCAGTTGATTGAAGGGTTAGCTGAATTTCGATACTATGAAGGTACAATCATGTTTGTTCTTCAGAATGCTAAAGAACATTCCACGCTGGCATGATTGCCTTGTCGGGGCGTTTATCTAGGTGTCTAAAAGTCCTTCCTCAAGCAACAATTATTAATCAAAAGTGCAAAATGTCTAGAAACTGCTTATTCATATACCCAAGAGGTGAGTAATTGATGATGATGTCTCCTAGGACGAAGATGTTGGCAGCAGTGTCTTGATCCATTGCCACAAGATATTCCCCAGTCAATCAGAGGCTAGTTTCCTCTTCCAATTCCTTATTCAGCGACATAATTTTTTACAGGTCGCGATCATTGCAGGGATATCCAGACGGTCTTCTAGCATGCCACTCTAGGGCAGCCGTACCTAACTTTCACGTGGGCTACGTCTTCAGTTTGTCATCAGCACATCTCTTCTTTGAGAACGGTGTCCAGGTTGCTATGGAAGGTATGCAGTCCGACTATCTTTTCATCCCAAAAACCACGAAGGTGACCATGACTGCTCCGACCTTGTCATTCCGTCAAAGACCGCCGTACCTTGGAGTCCCTAAGAAACCATTGGAGGCCAGAATGTCCCCGGAGAAGCTCTCCCGATGCTATCATGCCTTGTTCTTAGGCGCCGGGACGAGGGCCGTCGCTTTGTGCCACTCCTTGTACACAGCCCGCGCCTCGGCAAGGAGCTCCTCATCCTGGCCCTCGAGAACCTCGCGGCCCAACGTGTCGATGACTCGCCGGAGGCCACCAAGTCCTCCGTTCCACTGCTGGGCACGAAGCTTGAGACCAGCCGCAATCGGTCCATCCTTGCGCTTCAGGAACTCCACGTCGTGATCCAATCCGAAGGCGCGGAGGGTGTTTAGGGCGTGCACGCTGTGGACCACGTTGGGGTGGGGTCGGATCATGTAGCGGCCGTTGTCATTGCTGTCTCTGGTGAAGGCCCTGCTGCTGTAGCTTCCACGCTGCATCTCTTGCAGCATGCAGCGGATGACGTGCTTGAGGCCTCGCTCAGTTACCAGGTTCATGTCGTTGGGTAGGAGAATCATGTCGTCAGACTCGGTCGAGGCCACGTAGTAGTCGTTGACGATGTGGGGAATGTCTTGGTATATGTAAGTTATGCTATGTGGAACCAGCACCCCGGATATCCTGAGGCATGAGGCTTGAGGCATGGGAAAGATGGAACTCACAGTGACGTAACATAGCTTCGTTGACCTTCTCAATGAGGATGATGGGGTTCTCTCGAGCACCGTATGCGATCGCCACACGGTCCGGGCTGTCCAAGATAGCCCGTCGAGCATCAGGACCGAGGCCATCGATGTAGCCAGGAAGGCGACGAGTCTGGGGCTCCTGCTCTGGTGGAAGGGTGTCAGTTGCGACAGGGGCGGCAGGCTTAGGGATCTTGGCCGCCTTCGCAGCCTTGGCTGCGTCCAGGCGGGCCTGGGTGTGGGCAGGAAGGTTGATTTCAGGCATCTTGAAAGTGTCTATTGTTGATAGAAGAGTAGGCTACGGTGGATCAATGATGATCAGGAGAAGTATTGACACAGTTTGTTGTGTTTGTCTATCGGAGACGTGGATGGTTGTGGGTAGGAAGAGGTCGTCAAGGTTTGGGAGGAGTGCTGCGTTTAAAAAGGCTGCCTCTTGATTTCACTTCCGAAAAAGTGTGAATAGATATGTGAATAGTTGGCGTGAATGCCACCGGTTATGGTAAACATTGACCCCCTCGCATCCCCTGGTGTTCAACTTGTTCTATGCCACTGCCGAGACAGTATGCAAAAGCAATTTGCAAGTAATACCATCAGTGAATCGGAGAAGTTCCTCGCAAAATTGCTGCTAAAGAGTAAGCTGTGACCTGTGGGCCGAGATTTGGGTGACGTGGTTCAGAAACAGCCTCACCACGCCGTCGGTCAGTTCAAGAGCAAAGGCACTATTTACCCGCATTCTGTCCTCCATGACCGATGATTCAAAGCATAAATTGAATAGAATGCTGCAAACTTGTGTCACTGAGCGATCTAGCGATACACTGCCTGGGAGCGAGTGCTACAGAATTCCCAAAAGGCCCCAAAGACCCTGGATCAGCATTGAAGCATGCAAAAATTTCATCCTATCAGAACTTAATTATGACCACTTGAAAAATGCGATTGTATGGCAGGTTTGCACGGCTGATCATATTAGACACCATACCTTCCAGCATGACTCCAACCGCTGAATCATCCCCAGTTATGCTTCGCCAACAAACAAGTCCTGACTGATTCAACTGTCTCCTTCCTATGTATGAAAGCCTTGATAATGGTTGGTGGTGGCTATTGAAGCAGCCATGTTCGCCGGAGAACGGGATGACAGCGCCAGGAAGATGGACGGTAAAGTTGCGCCAGCCAGTCCTGCCTCATTCACGGCGCCCGAGGGGACGTGATAGATTTACTCTCAAGTAGACCGACCCAGCGGCTATGTACCAGAAAAGCTGGCAATTTGCGTCTGCATGATCATGGACAGATGCGTCTTCTTGATAAAGACGGGAGTAATTTCACAAGCACGTGAAGCCTGAAAATCTTACCTCATGATCGTGCACACGCTTGAATGTCTTATTCGGCGAGGTATCATGATTCCTCTGGGCTTGTCACACGATCCAGCCAAAATATCGCTGTCCACTCAGCCTACACACCATTACAAAATACCACTGTTCAGCATCGCAGGATACGTTGGTGCCAATTCGTTGGACTAGGAATGCACTCTGTGGTTTTAAGGAGGTGCTCGAACATCTGAATGCCCTGTTAGACAATCCCATGGGATGTGTTAGGTAGCCCTCTACGATGACTCGCCCATCCGTAGTCTCTCAAATTGGCCGCAGATATGCTGTCCTCATTCTCCTTACCGAGTCTCAACCGAGTGGAGGCATTCCTATCGCCGCCCATGGTACCTCTCCTCACAGACAAAACCTGCCGCCGTGACTTGCACCGCCACTCCTGAAATCACCCACCCCTGCTCCGTTTTGCCAGGGGAATCAGGCGTTCTGGCCGGAAGTCTTGCGAGGAGGCTGAGCCTGAACCCGCTTGTCGTAGGCATCCCAGGCCCGGGCGAGGAGGTGCCGGTCCGGATCCCCCAGGAGCTCCCGATCCACGGTGTTCAGGAACCTCTTGAGAGTCCACAGGTTCCCAGACCACTCCACGGCCCTACGCTCCAGAGCGGAGATGATCGGGCCGTCTGGCATAGCGAGGAACTCGGCATCGTAGCTGAGACCGAAGGCCCTCAGGGTGTGAAGACCGTGGATCATGTCCACGGGGTTGCGGCAGGGGCGCATCGTATAGGTGGCCTGGTCCTTCTTGTCCTTGGTGAAGTGGCTGCTCGCATAGCTGCCCCACTCTACCTCCCTCCTCATGTTGACAAACACGTATCTCAATCCCCGCTCGGTCACGAGGGTCATGTCGTCAGGGAGAAGGATGATGTCTCCAATCGCCGTGGTGTGCTTGAAGTTGTCGACGATTTGGGGAACGTCTGTTTGTACTATGTAAGTTGACTGACCAGGGACGACCAAGACGGACTGCAATTATTTTGAAGAGACACAGATATGGCGCCCCATGACAGAAGAAGGATAGTACTTACAGTGCTGAAGCAGGGCCAGGCTGACATGCTCGACCAGAGGGTAAAACGCCTCAAGTGTGCCATAGCCGACGATGACCTTGGCGTTGCATCGCAGGATTTCCTGTCGAGCGTCGAGGCTCAGGCCATCGACGTGTCCTGGAAGAGCAGGAGGCGTCACAGCCAGGCTGGGCTGAGGCTCCTCTGCCTTCGGCTTCTTCGACTCTTTGGCGGCCTTGGCTGCCGCCATGCGAGATTGGGTATGGGCGGGAAAGGTAACTTGGGGAATCATGTTGGCGTTGATGATTGATGTGTGCGTTGGTTGATATATGTTTGTGGGGGTAATGATCGATGATCAATGATGATAGATCAAGGAGGATGGTATGTCTGAGTGAGGTTGACGATGGATGGAGGAAAGGAGAGATGTTCCAAAATTTGGAAAGATTGATGGGCTTAATTATTTGATGGTCAGATGGTGTCTTGCCGACCTTGATCGAAAATAAAGTGAATATAGAAGTGAATACTAAGCCCACGTGAATGGGTTTTATCACCTGGATTGTTAACCATCCAGCCTCTGTGATTGTAGACTGGTCCGTACCAGCTCCGGGACAATATTCCAGTAAAGTATCGCAGTGAAGTCGACTGCCGATCCAATACATGTACGTTCCTTTTAATTACTACAATAGAGAGGATTGGAGATTGCGGGCCTAGATCCGAGTCGTAGCAATTCAAGGCGTCACACAGCCAGGCCAGTGACTCATAGCATGAAGCACGATAGCCAATCACGTTCATTTGAACAGTCCATCTCGACGGAGAGCATGGGGAAAGAATCAAGTTTCAATGGTGCAGCGATGTCGATGTCGACGGATGGTAACGGTCCAGCAGCCTGTCCCGACTCATCCTGTTGATTCACTCTGAATTGAATGTGAACACTATTTATGACACTGTTATACGCCAATGGAGGCTGTGCGGTAGCAACTATTGAAGCGAACCATCTCAAAAATGATGAACTATGACTCTCAGCTTGCTCCCACTCGGCAACGCCATATTGTTGGCAGCGTCGCCGGCTACTCGATCCAAAAGATCTGAAAGTCTGCAACTAGATGGCATGAATGCACCGACCTCTCAGAAAGTCGGACACATCCATACGTAGGCATTTATTGATGCGAGTAGATGGTGCACAATATGCCAGAGCCGACTTTAAGGCTATGTAGAGCTCTAACTCTAGGGCTGGCCCGCCCGGGAACTGAACATGGGCGGAGCGGCATGTCGATCGCAGATGATTACAAATACTGGGTCAAGGGTTTGAGAAGCTTTTTTTGTTAACTTTTCAAATTACCGAGATCATGAGATGAAGATTAAATATTATGTTGTACCTCCATGACTGGAGGATAAGGCACCAGCGACAACTTCGTCCGATATTAAACCCAGACCCAAATAAGCAACAAAACACTCAACCGAACAACCTGTCATCTCTCTGTCTACAACATGACTGTAAAGAAAAACGAGACCATGACTATCATAGCACCAGCCAGGATTCCAACGTTTCTCTCAGAAGCATCAGACTGAACATACGTTGGCCGCGGGGATACAGGACTCTTCCCGGTATCAGATGCTGGCGGGGCCACAGGTCCTGCACCAGAGGTTGAGGCGGGTATAGGAACGGCCGGAGGAGGAACGACTGGAGGGGGGACCACCGGAGGAGGGATTTCTGGAGGGGGAATTGCTGGAGGAGGGACGGCTGGAGGAGGGATGGCTGGAGGAGGGACGGCTGGAGGAGGGATAGCCGGAGGAGGGATAGCCGGAGGAGGGATAGCCGGAGGGACGACGGCCGGAGGAATGACGGCTGGTGGAGGAACCACAGGGGGTGGAACCACAGGGGGTGGAACCACAGGGGGAGCAACGGGATTCTGGGAGACATATGTCGGACTCGGAGGCGTCGGCTGGACAACTGGTGGAAGAGCTGGAGTCGGCTGTATCTTTGGTGGCTGCCATTGCGGTTGATTGTGTCAGCTTAATTTGAACATGACAGCATGGATGGGATGGGCTCGCAGGAGCGACATCCAAAAAGTTGCAAGAGAAAGCTAATTCTTACCTTCGTGAAAGTGCAAGGGCAGTTCGTGATGGTAAGCATGGTAGGCCCCGTAGCGGTGTACGTTTTGTCCTTGACAACGACGACCGTGGGCCCAGGGCACCAGGTTGTGTAGGACTTGACGATCACGACCACAGTTCCGTTTTTGTACCCAGGCTTTCCGGGCAGACCACCAGGAATTGTCACGTTGGTGGGAATTAAGGGTTTGACAGGAACAGGTGTTCTGATAGGCGGCGCAATGGAGGTGCTGTTGACGCGGATCGTGTTGTTTTGGGCCGCCGTCAGCGTCGCGGCCCCAAGCATGAGGATAGCCTTGAGCAATTGCATGGTGACTCTCTTCAATGATGTTCAAAATTTCGATTGAAGATTGGAACGCCTTGATTGAACGATTCCGGGGCCAAGGGTTTCAATGAACGAGATGAATTGACTGGAAAAAAGATGACCATGATTAATTCTCACGGAGCATGTATTTATATTTGTTCTTGTGATATCACATCACCCTTCAAAAAAACCACGAACACAGTCACGACGGAAGCAGCGAGATTCCCCACGATGTCTTGGATGTTGAAACAGTGCCTTGTGCTCAAGGTCGGGTCTTCCCGAGGGCTACATTCCAGCGGGACACCGTCTAGGTCATGACATACAGATATTCCACATGGCCAATCCGAACTAGCGCGACCCCCAGAGCTACTTACTAGTACGCTGTTGAGATGAGGCTGGGGATCGGCAACGGCTTTACCGGCTCTTGTCTAGGCGGCTTCTGTTAGCTGTCCGTTTTCGTTCAGTGCATCTGTGCGTTTGCTGCACATGCACAGTGAAGCCCAATCCTATCCTACAATTCGAGGCAGTTATGTGCAAAAATGAGAAGGGCCTTGAAGAAGGTCCGTGGGCCAAGATTTGTAAATCAATTGTTCAATCTGTGCTACGATATCAACGCCACCCCCCAAGAAAATAAGAATAACTCCGGAGATGCTTAGCCTCTTCGGCTATGCTTCCCTGTTTGGAGAGATGCGGCCATGCATCTTTACTCTCCATCTAAGCCCTGACATACTGTCTCAGTCGCCAGGGAAGGCAGCGTGCGCCGCTTGCATCATGTATTGAAAACGATCTACCGCATTATCAATGCACCAGGTGTAGTCTCAAGAACAGACTTCAGTTCTGGCCAGGCCTGCTCGAAGGAAGGGTGTAAGGGAAGCTTTTCCACATCCTGGATTCCAACCCATTTAGTCTCCAGGGACTCAGAGTCTCCCTGTGGGACTGTAGGCTCGAACGGCTTGATCACGTCAGCAATAACGGAAGTGTACCTCCAAGATCCGTGGTCCAAGAATGCACGCTCGTACCAGATGTTGATGATGGGGTCAGGTCCATCCGCGCAGCCCCGGGGAAGACCTACCTCCTCGGATGCCTCGCGAATAGCCGCCTGACGCGGGGTCTCGCACTCCCCGTCCAAGGCCCCGCCTGGCATAGCCCATGTGCCTCCCGCGGTGGTGGAGAACGACCGGTGTTGAAGGATCACGTGTGTGACAGGGCGGTCCGCCTTGGTCTCGTCTCGACGGACGAGAAGCATACCGGCAGCTCCGCCTACGCCGAAGTGGCGTTCCCTGCATGTCTCGCAGTCGACCATCTTCTCCCAGGGGCTCTTGGGCTCCGGCCACTTGTTGGCCTCGTTCTGGTGCGACTTGTCTGACGACATTGTTAGCCCTGATCTTGCGCGGCTTAGTTAGAATGTGTCGGATTCTGCTTGCCTGTAATGTTTTCTTGTTGTGGGAGATTTGTGCTGGCAGTCTACCACTGGTGATGAGTAGGCGGGAGGAAAAGGTTTATAGAGGTGGCTACGGAAAGAACGGGTGGCTTACATAGGTCGAGGTCAGTCATCAGATTGACCTTTAGCTTCAACAATGCTATTGTTCCGCATTGACTGACTAGCCTCACGGTTTTTTGTGTGTAATAGAGAGCCAAAGCTATTTTGTTCAGACCTGACCGAATCTACTATTTTCTTTGTCACGGCACCGTGGCGTAGTGACGCTAGGTAGCTTTCTGGTTTCCGAGTATGATATATTGGCAATGTAGCAATGGCCTTCTCGACCATCTTTATCCTCAAATGAACTATGGGAATTCTTAATCTGAAAAGAAAACATTGAAAAAGCAAAAGCAACATAACCGGAAACAGCGTACATGCCAATTCTAGAGTGCACCATAAGGTTATGTATACCATAGTACAGAATTGGCCCAGTTCCCAACAACCAGTCCGGTGGTCTTTTGGTCAACATGCACACAGACTCGTGCACTTACATACATGTACTTCGGGGCATACATGTGGAACCCCATGTCTTACAAAGTCCGAGGCTCGCTTTGCAGTGCAAGTGCTTATCCACACCGTACTTTGCTCCCACTGGACCATGGCTGTCTCGCTCTTCAGCTGGGGCGTCAGGTTATCAATATTCCCTGCAGTGATCTCCAATCATCCATTTCGGTTCGTTGAAATTATGCATAACCCCCGCAGTAGGGTGCCATTGGTCATCAACCAGCTTGACTAGTTGAGACGGCGACTATAAACACTCAACGCGATGTCCTATTAGATTGATGGGCATGCCAATCCTGTTTGCTTACAGTCGTTAAATTTATGCTTCAGGTCAAACATGTCCCCAAAAATCGATCTATTGACATCAAAAGCCGATGAAGGCGGCGATGTCAAGCCTTGCGAGCAGCCTGCCCAGGTTGAGGTTGCTAATACCACGGCAGTGTATGAAAAGTATGGCAACAAATATGACGAGATGGACATGGACCGCATGGGGAAGTTGCAAGAACTGCGAGTAAGTAACGCTGATTCCAGGAGTACACAAGCGTGATATGGAGATTCTGACATATCTGGAGTAGAGGAACTTCAAATTCATGACTGTTTTTGGCTATTCGGTGGTTCTTGGATCCAGCTGGGAATTTTCTCTAATGTTTGCTATCTCGCCCCACGTCATATAAGGAACGCTAACTGAGCCATATATAGTATCATCGGAATATCCCTTAGTAACGGAGGCACAGCTGGTGGCATTTGGATGTTCCTCAGCGTTTGCTTCGGCATGTTGTTCGTCATGCTCTCGATGGCCGAGCTGGCATCAATGTAAGCGCATAAATCCCTCTAGTCTCGGACTGTTGACTGATCGACCAAGGGCGCCCACGTCCGGTGGACAATATCACTGGGTTTCTGAATTGGCCCCAAAACAACACCAGAAATTCCTGAGCTATCTCGTCGGTACGTCCCTTTTCGATCCCAGTCGCAATGACAGAGCTGATATGAAAGGACCAGGTTGGATGTGTGTTATCGGATGGCAGGCCGCCATGGCTACTTGTGCTCTTGCTACGACGCAGCAGCTTCAAGGACTGATAACACTGAATATGCCGTCGTATATGGCCCAAGGATGGCATGGTACCCTCTTCAGCATTGCCATCACGTTCTTCGCCATCATATGGAATACCGTCTTCGTCAAAAACCTTCCTGTCATCGAGGTCATTGGTTTAATACTTCACGTCTCTGCCTTCGTGGCCTTTGTTATCGTTTTATGGCTTATGGCCCCACACTCGGACCCAAAGGCCGTATGGACCAATTTCGAGGATAACAGTGGATGGGGAAGCGCCGGTCTCGCGACTCTTGTTGGTATCCTTGGACCTATTGTGACTCTTATCGGCTCGGACTCAACATGCCACTTGGCCGAGGAACTGAGAGATGCAGCCTGGGTACTCCCAAGGTCCATGGCCGCGACTGCTGTGACCAATTACGCCCTCGGTTTTGTAATGACAGTCACTATCATGTCCAGCCTGGGGGACGACGTATCTGCGATTCTTTCTACGAGACTTGGACAGCCATGGATCCAGGTGATTTACAACGCGACAGGATCCAAAGCTGGGACATCGGTCATGACGGCAGTTGTCTGGATCCTACTGCTTTTATGCACTATTAACCAGGTCACTACCACATCACGCCAGCTCTTCGCATTTGCCCGTGATAGAGGTCTTCCCTTTTCACCATTCCTGGCCTATGTAAGAAGCACACGTTTTGTTGTTTTCATCAGTATGGCTGACGTTGAGCAGGTTCGCCCGGGCTGGGATGTTCCCGTGAATGCAGTTCTAGTAACCTTAGGCTGCACCATCCTGCTCTCACTCATCATCATTGGATCGACAATCGCATTCAACGTCATCACGTCTCTCGGTCAAGTTGGCCTCGTCTCCTCTTACATCATTGTCATCTCCTGTGTATTTGCGAAACGGATCAAAGGGGAAGCCCTCCTGCCTTCTCGGTTCAGTCTTGGCAAATTTGGATTTCTGGTCAACGGCATCGCTCTCTTGTTTCTGGGGTTGGCTTTTATCTTCTTGTTCTTTCCGGCGGTACCTGACCCGGATCCTGCTAGTATGAACTGGAGTTGTCTCCTGTTTGGTTTCATCCTTGGGTTTTCGCTGATTTACTATTGGATTTGGGGAAGACACGTTTATGTTGGGCCGGTGGAATACATCAAGAATCGATAGCGAACTTGCTGCTGCTTTGCTTACACTCATTTGCATTCCACACCGCTAAAACCACGCTAGTGACACTGCCGTGTTGATACACACCCAACTTATATACACATTATCATTTCAACACCATAACGTGGTTTACCAGTAAGTGGGCAGTATTAGTAAGTAGGCACTTTTTGTAATATCTGCCAACTTTTGTTAACGCCAGCACCCGCTTAGTGCATTTAATTTATTAAAAATTAACACTAATTAATACTAACTGCATTTAATTCCTTATTTTTAATTAATTTTATTAATTTAAAGGGGTTAGCATAAATATAATGCTAATTTAAATAAGCTAACTTTTAATAAGAAAACTATACTTTGTATTAAATAATGCTAACTATATTATTAAAAACGTAATTTACTATAAACCGCTAAAATAAATATATTTACATTAATTAATGTAGTATGGATGGGTCACGGTGAATTTGCGGTGAATTTGCCGTGAATTCACGAGCATTTATAAATTTATAATACTTTTATGGTGAATTTACTGTGAATATATGGTTTTATGATAAATTTACCATGTATATATTTAGATAGAGAAATTCCCTGTAAATTTACCTTAAATTTATGGGGGATATTGAATTTTAAACTTTTGTTTTTATTATTATAATAGCTATAATTATATGCTTTAATTATATAATTACTTTATAAAAAGATTAAGTAAATTATAATTATTATTATTATAATATTATAATATTTATAAATTAAGTTATAAAATTTTTAATAATTAATAAGTTAAATAAATATTAACTTAAGCTTTTTTAAATTATTAAAAAAAGGTAAAGTTTATTATAAATTTATAATAAATATATTATAAATAAAATATAAATTTAATATATAATTTTTTTTTATATTTTTATTATTATTTTTTAATTTTTAATTAATAAAAAAGCATTAATAATTATTTTAATTATAAATAATAATTTTTAAATAAATAAATATTTTTTTATTTATTATATTTAAAAAAATATAAAGTTTATTAAATATTATAATAATATTTATTATTTAATAAATTTTTTATAATTATTATATTATTATATATAATTTATTAAAGTTATAAAATTTTTAATTTAAAGTAATTAAAAATTAAATAATAATAAAAAAAAATATTTTAATTTTAAAAAATTAAGTATTAAATTTAATTTTTTTAAAAGTATTTTAAAATAATTTTTAAATTTAATATTTAATAAATATAAATTTAATTAATAATTATAATTATTATTATTAATTATATTAATTAATAAAATATAAAAGCTTAATTATTTATTAAAAATTATTAAATAAAATTTACTTAAATTAATTTTAATTAAAATATATTAAGTTTTTATATAAATTTTAATAAGTTATTATTTATTTAAATTATAAAGTATTAATTAAATATTATTTTTAATTATTAAGCTATATATATTATATTTTATTAATTTATAATATATAAAATTTATATTTTATAAATTAATATTTTTATTATATAATTAAGGAAACTTAAAAAAAAATTAAAATTATAAGATTTATTAAAAATTTTTAAAATTTTTTAAATTTAAGTTTAATACTTAAATTATATTTAAAATTTTAATTTTTATATTTAAATTTAAAAAATTATAAGAAAATTTAAAATATTAATATTATATATATTTATATAAAGCTTTTTTTAATTTTTTATAAAATCTTAAAATTTATAATTTTTAATTTAATTAAAAAATATCTTTATTTATATAAAATATAAAATTTTTTAAAAAAAATAAAATTAAATTAATAAATAATTATATAAATAATATTATTTTAAGCCTTTTAAATTAATTAAATTAACTTTAAAATTAATTAAAATATTTATAAATTTATTAAAATTAAATTATTATATTTTTTATAATTATTTAATATAAAATTAAGTTAAATAATAAATTTAATTTTATTTAAAATATTTAATTAAAAAAATATTATTTTTATTAATAAAGCTTTTTTAATTAAAAAATTATAAAATAAAAACTTAATAATAAAAACTTTTTAATTAAATAATTATTATATTTATTTAAAATATTAATTAAAAAATAATAAAGAAAATTAATTATATAATTATAATTAAAAATATTAAGATTTATTAAATAATAATTATTTACTTAAGCTTAATAGTTTTTATAATAATTAAAATTTTAAAAATATTATTATTAAATAATTTAAATTATATAAAAATTAAAATAACTTTTAAAATTTAATTTAAATATTTTAAATTAATAAAAAGATTATTATTTAAAAAAATCTTTAAAGCTTTATTAATTAATATAAAATATACTTATAAAATAATATTTATTAAAAAATTTAATTAAATTATAATTTATTTTTTTATTTATTAAATATTATTTATTTATAATTTTAAATAATATTTAATAAAAATAAGCATTATAAATTAATTTAAGGAAATTTAAAAGCTTAAATTTTATAAAAAAGTTATTTATTAAATAACTTTTATATTTTATAAAATATTATTAAAATTTTATTAAATTAATAATATTACTTTTAAATAAATATATTTAATAATTAAAATATTTAAAAATATATTTAATAAATTTATTAATTTATAATATTAATTAAATAATTAACTTTTTTTATAATTTAAAATATATAAAATTAAATTAATAAAGTATTAATTATTTTTTATTTTAATTATTTTTTTATTAATAAAAACTTTTATAAATTTAAAATTAAATTATAAAAAAAGTAAGAAATTTAATATTTATAATAAAAAAATTAAATAATAATAAAAAGATTTCTTTAAAAAATATAATTATTATTTTATTTTTTAATTTTAATTAAATTTATTTATTTAATGCTTTTATTAATATATATTAATATATTAAATTTTTACTTTTAAGTATTAAAAATAAATTAATTATATTAATAAATTTAATTATTTTATTTTATAAATTATATTTTAAATTTTATATTTTAAAATATAATTTTAAAATAATATTAAAAGTTATTTAATATTTATTAATAAATTTAAAATAATTAAAATAAATAAATAAGTTTATTTTAAGCTTAAAAATTATTAATTAATAACTTATAATAAAGCTAAAATTAATTATAATTATTTTAATAAAATATATAATTAAATTTATAATTTTATTAATATTTTAATTAATAAAATAATATTAAATATTTTTTAAATATTATTATTTAAATATTTAATATAAATAATAATAAGTTTTAATATAACTTTTATTATAAAAATAAATTAATTATTAAAGATTATTTTTTTATAAATAATAAATTAAAAGCTATAAAAAAGAAATTTTTATTATAAAAAATAGCTTAACTTATAAGGTACTTAATTTAAATAAAAAAATTAATAAATTAATTATTTTAATATTAAAAAATAATTATTATTTTATTAATAAATTAAACTTATATAATTTAATATAAATAAGCTTTAATATTTACTTTATTAATATTAATTTATACTTAAATAAATACCTTTATTTTAATTTTAATTAAATATATTATAAATATAATATTATTTTTATATTAAAATTATTACTTAAAAAATATTTAAAAGCTTGCTTAATAATAAATTTTTATATATTTATTTATAAAATAACTTAAAATAAGTTAATATTATATATAAATTAATTATTAAAAGTTTTATTATTATATAATAAATTATATATTTATATTTATATATAAATTTAAAAAGTTATAAATAAATTATTATTTATAACTTATTATAATATTAAAACCTTAAAATATATTATTTTTTAAAATTATTTAAAATATTTTTTATAAATTATAATAAATTAAATTATAAAAGTTAATATTTAAAAAATAAAATATATTAAAGTTATTAATTAAATTAAGTTTAATATATTTTATTATATTATTATAAAAAATTACTTAATAATTATTATTATATATATTAAAATATAAATATTTAATTATTTAAATATTAATTTATTAATAAATTAAAAGTTTATAATTTCTTATTAAGTTAATATTTTAAACTTAAAAAGAAAAGTTATTTTTAAATACTTTAATAATATATTTATAAATATTATAATCTTTATTAAAGCCCTTAAATAAATATATATAGCTAAGGTTAATATAAATATTATAATTTTATTATATTTATATTAAATTATATTAATATTTATTATAAAGTTAAAAAAATATAGCTTTTTTATTTTAATTTAAGTAAAAAGGCTAAATTAATAACTTAATAAATTATAACTTTATAAATATTATTATAATAAATTAATTATTATACTTTATATATATTTATTAAAACTTTTATTTAAAAATAATTACTTTTTTTATATATAATAATATAAAACTTTTTAATTAAAAAATTAAAGTAAAAACTTTTATATATATAATATTAATTACTTAAAATAAATTTTTTTTTTAATATTTAACTTTATTTAACTTTATAAATCTTTTTAATAATTTAAATTAAAACTTAAATTATATATTAATATAATATTAAAATACTTAATTAATGCTTTAATTAAATAATTCTTTTAAAGCATTATTATAAAATAATCTTTTAAAGTTTTAAAAATAACTTTAATTTAATAATAAGTTAAGAATATTTAAATTTAAAGATTTATTAAAAGTTAAATTATTAAATAATATTTATATTTATTAATTTTTTAATTTATTTATAAAAAGGGCTAAAAATCTTATTTAAGAATATTATTAAATATTTAAAAATAATAAATTAATTAATATATTAAAAAATTAATAAATAAAGATATTATTAATAAATAATTAATAAAATTATAAAATTAATAAGCATTTATATTACTTAAGTAAAGAGAATTAAAAGGTAATAAATAAACTTATAAATAGCCTTTATTAAAAAAAAAGAATAAAATAAGTAATATTAATTATTTCTTTTAAATTATTTATCTTTATTATTTAATAAATTATTTATAATTAATATAAAAATTAAATAATAATAAACTTAAAAGCAT